GATAAGACCGCAAAAGGCCCCCGATCATCATTATGTTTTTACCCTTCATGACCAACTTTGTGAGGCTACCGCTCCCAAACTAGTTGCGGTCAATAGCCTTCCCGATACAGGGCATGAAAGAGTAGGGTCTTAAGAATACTAGGACGTCGAGGGAGGCCTTTTACGGCGACTAGATTAGACACAGTGGCCATCCAAAATCAGCAAATTTCCGAGATTCGACCACTTTTTGACCAACTTAGTCGGAAAATCGTTGCGGTCAAAGCCAAAATCGTTGTGGTCAACGTCTTCCCGATGCAGGGCATGAAAGAGTAGGGTCTTAAGAATACTAGAGCGTCGAGGGAGGCCGTTGACCGCAATTAGATCGGACGCAGTGGCCATCCAAAGTCAGCAAAATCAGCAAATTTCCGAGATTCGACCACTTTTTGACCAACTTAGTCGGAAAATCGTTGCGGTCAAAGCCAAAATCGTTGTGGTCAACGTCTTCCCGATGCAGGGCATGAAAGAGTAGGGTCTTAAGAATACTAGAGCGTCGAGGGAGGCCGTTGACCGCAATTAGATCGGACGCAGTGGCCATCCAAAGTCAGCAAAATCAGCAAATTTCCGAGATTCGACCACTTTTTGACCAACTTAGTCGGAAAATCGTTGCGGTCAAAGCCAAAATCGTTGTGGTCAACGTCTTCCCGATGCAGGGCATGAAAGAGTAGGGTCTTAAGAATACTAGAGCGTCGAGGGAGGCCGTTGACCGCAATTAGATCGGACGCAGTGGCCATCCAAAGTCAGCGAAAACGGCTACTTTCGTCCTATATATACTAGGACTCTTTGACCAACTTTGTGACGTTACTGGTCCCAAACCCGAAAGGCCCCGGCAGATTTTTCTGCCTGTCTGCCCTGGCCAGTCCGAGCCTGCTGCCAAAAAGGACTCTTTCAAGGACTCGAACCGAACGTGTGACCCCACCAATGGATTCCTCGTGCGGAGAGCAATCCATTGGTGGGGTCACACGTTCGGTTCGAGCCCCATTTAGCGACTCTGGAGCTCAAAACGCGTCCAGAGTTCTGACCTCCTCCGTCGGCAAATCCACCGTGCGGCGCCACAGGTTGCAGTGTGCGTTCGCTATCTCTGCGCGGTCGGCATGTCGACGACTTCCCCGCCAAATTATTCATTCCACGACACTGGGAACTAGAACGGTGCAGCATAAAGCACTTTATCGCCGTCTTTACGGTGCGATACGAGAGTGCGAGAGAGAGTGGGGCATTGCGAGGCGCGGCCTTGCGCGCTCCTTTTAACGTGCCGAGAGAGTTCGCAGGCAGTATATCGCAGCAGCGGCTGGCTGTGTGGGCGCACAGTGGGCCAGAAGACCGGTGGAGGCGGCCGAAACTCCAGACGCGTTTTGAGCTCCAGAGTCGCTAAATGGGACTCGAACCGAGCGTGTGACCCCACCAATGGATTCCTCGTTCGGAGAGCAATCCATTGTTGGGGTCACACGCTCGGTTCGAGTCTTATTTAGCGACTCTGCAGCTCAAAACGCGTCCAGAGTTTCGGGCGCCTCCACCGGTCTTCTTACCCACTGTGGGGCGGGGCGACGACGAGGATGTGGTTCCGCCACACTGTTCAAGCCGTTCCTGGGAATATTTGTCGTTTCGCGTGGCAGTGCTGGAACGTGTGTCGCCTTGCTCCCCCTTCCCGGCCCCTCCCAGGGACCCGCGCCAGCCCGTCCTCTGTTTTCTTCATTTTAAATGCTGTCTGGAGCGGCGCGCGGCCGAGCGTGGCGCGGCACCTCGTGGACGGCCTCGTGGAGTCGGAAGAATGTGCACGAGGGCACGTCCCGCGCTGCACGAGTCGCCACACAGTGGGCCAGAAGACCGGCGGGGCGGCCAAAGCCCGGACGCGTTTGGAGCTCAGAGTCGCTAAATGGGACTCGAACCGAACGTGTGACCCCACCAATGCGTTGCTCTCCGAACGAGGAATCCATTGGTGGGACCACACGGTCAGTTCGAGCCCTGCTAAGCGACTCTGGAGCTCAAAACGCGTCTAGGGTTTTGACCGCCTCCGCTGGTCTTCCGGCCCACTGTGAGGGTCACACTTCCGTGACCGCCGCCCCACTGTCGATGCTGGAGTCGACCCCTACTGCTGGCAATGGCCGGCGAGACTGCGCTAAGAACGCGGCAGACGTGGGCGAGCGCGTCTGGAGGCAATGCGGGCAATGGCAGGCTGCAAGAAACGATCCGCAAGAAGCCTGTCAACCGAATGAGGCGCCGGCACCGCCAGCAAGCACTCGTTCTTGCCAGTGTGTTTGTTTGCCGCCGCGGAATCGGCTTGGAGTCCCGGGGCCAAGGTCGTCGGGGCAGGACGCGTCAACGCAACAAAAAAATATGTATTAGCTAGTTCCATGTCAAACGTCTGTATCTCGCCGCGTCGCGCGCCACCAGACTCAAACTTGTTGTGCAATGTGAGTAATGTCTCTCTCTCTCTCTCTCTCTCTCCCTCTCCCTCTCTCTCCCCCCTACAGGCGGCTAGTGTTCCACCCGTACTGCCGCGGGGTGGCTGCCAAGCGGTCCATGCCCAGCGCGGAGTCCCGGTTCCTGGACGCGGTGGACCTGGACGCCGCGCCGCCACCGCCGCCACCGCCGTCCGCGCGCGGCTCGCTGGGTTCGCTGGCGTCCGAGCTCCGCGCCGACCCCCTGCTCGTCGGCATCCTGGGCCGGCTGGCGGAGGAGGGGCGCGAGCAGCAGCGCGAGCAGCGCGACCGGCCGAGGCTGGTGGTCGCCGACGTGGCCGCGGACAGCGCCGACAGCGCCGACAGCCAGGCCAGCGACGCCGACGCGCCGTGGAGCGGCGAGCCGGTGAGCAGAACGTTCACGTTGAAACCGCGGGTCCGGGGTTCGAATCCCCGTGTCAAAGTAACTTTTTTTTCTGTTTGAATTTTTTTTTAATTTTTCAATTACATTTGTAATTGAACGGATTGCTCTCTGTTGCAGAGCGGGGCGAAGGCCCCGGACTACGGCCGCTTCGAGTGGCAGTCGGCCCGCAAGCGCATGAAGGAGCAGGAAATCACGTACGACTACTGAACTCCGCGCGGCCCCGTCGACGAACGCAACCCTCCGTGAGACTTTCCGTCGTGTCGACTCCAACGGGTCTCCCTCGACGTTCCGTGCCCTAGTTCTCTTCTGTCGGGAAGCCGTGACGTAGATTCGTGTTTGTACTAGGTTTCAGAAATAATGCCGGTTCAAAACCGGCCAAAAATTGTGTAAAAAAAGGGAAAACACCACAAGAGACAGCAAAAGGGGGAAACGATTTTGTGCTGGCCGGGCCACGCCGGGCTGGGCCGTGGCTGCGTTGCCCTGCCGTTGGACTGCCAACCTGTGGCTGGGTTGTCATGCCGACGCCGCGATATTTAAAGGGCAGCAGAGCACGACGATTACATCCCGCATTATCCGCAGTAAGCCTGCCTCCGGGCCCTGGACCCCGTCGTTATTCGCAGGGCGCTCGGTGGCATTGGGGCCCGTCACTGTATTAAATGGCCCCCCAGTCGAGACGTTCTGGACACAGCTTAATTAATTATTTCGACCACCCGTCATCTCAAAAGTGGAACGCGCCCATAGTGCGTCTGTGTGCGTCGCTGTGTGCGTGTGGCTGTGTGGGTGGGTCGGTGTGGGGAAAGACTTAGATTGTTTGGACGCAATGCATGGCGTAAGAGGCTTTGCGCCACCCCGTTTCGACCCCAGAACGCGTTGTGTCTCCCCCCTCTCTCTTTCTCTCTCTGTCTGTCTCTCTCTATCTCTCTATGTCCGCGTGTGGGTTCCGGGTGGCTGTCGCAGCCAGGATGTCTCTAGGTTCTCTCTGGGCAAAAATAAAAGAAAGTCTTTTTTTGTGACGCCAACCTCGGACCTATCATCCCCATCCCACCGTTTGCCCTCAAAGTTTGCCTGTTTCCTTCTGAATTTATTGAAAATTTTGTGAAAACTTTGTAGCCTTGTGGGCAGTGACCTCTCCGGACGTCTTCTAGGACTGGGCCCCACAAGTAAGATTTTGGATGCCACCGCCTGCATGTGCAATGAGGTCTCACTGTTGTTATTATATTTCTGCTCCATCATGTAAACGCCTAGAAAAAAAAAAACATGCAAGCCAATCGGGCGGGTTTAAAATAAGAGAAACAGAATTCAATTTTACATGTTTACGGGGGCAAATTTTCAAACTGCATTATACCGTCAATGTTTCTGTTTCATTGTCTCATTTAATTACTGATTCATTTGATCAGTATAATTTTTGTAGTAGGGAAGGACTGATGACTAGACTGAGGCTTAAGTTTTTTGTTTTAGTGACCAGCCTTTAACTTCAATAACATCAAATTTTGAGCGTTTCTGGCTTTTTACCGGCATGATCCTTGCTCGAGAAACACTTTTCGATGCGTTTCTCACAGCCTTTGCATTAGGCCTGGGCGATTAATCGATTAATCGAAAATAATCGCGATTATTTTGTTAATCGTCCGATTATTTCAAATCCCCGATTGGTGGTTCGGTAATCGAAGTATTGACCGATTATTTAACGATGATCGATTATCGATTAATCGTCTCTTTATCGGATATTCTATCCATCACCTGATCAAATTCTGAGCGGAAACGTCTTAAAAAGTTTTCAGTTAAGGCACAAAAGCTGTCACAGACACTCGACGTTGCGCCAATGGTTTCCCTAACCTCTTATTACATGCTATTTTCACAATAGTACGAGTATTTACCTTTATTTGTCAATTTCCAAATAATCGATTTCTCCCGATTAATCGTTGATTTTCGATTAATCGTTGATTTTCGATTAATCGTGTACGTTTTCGATTACCGATTACCGAACTGCTAATCGACACCAATCGCGATTATTTTATTCATCGGCCGATTACGATTACAACCAATAATCGCCCAGGCCTACTTTGCATGAAATCAGTGACACCACCTGTCGTCGAGTGGGTAATAAAAGTAATAATGTTAATAATTATGAATATCGCAAACCGTAGCTTCTCTGTAACTTAAAATATCTGTATATTATAAGTAATAACACGCAATTACAAATTTTATTATTGTACTGATTGTGTCTGATTGCCCTGAAGATCCCTCCGCACTGCCATGCGGCCTCCCTGTCTCTCTGACGTGGTCGTGTCTCCGCCGGAAAAGCCCCGTCGCTGTCTTCGGGGCGCGGACTAGCAGACACGGCGCTAGGACTCCCTGTAGGCGCGGCCGCGCGGCACGGCCGGCACGGGCACGAACACGTAGTCCCCCGGGTGGTACAGGTGGTCGCCGCGGTCGAGGGCCGGCTCTCCGGCGGGCAGGTACGCTCCCCAGTCCCCCCTGTCGTAGCCGGGCGGGCCGGGAGGGGCCACCGCGCGCTCCAAGAGCATCCTGGGCTGCACCGGCAGCATCGGCTGCACCGGCTGCATGCGCTCGTACATCACCTGATTCGGATTCGCGTTCAAAATGCGGTTCACAGTGTGCCGGTCCTCTGGCTCACTGTTTGTCAGTGTGCGGAGCTCACCTGGCGCTCGGCGTGGACGTCATCCGGGATCACGCGCTCGAACAGCGTGGCGCGGCCGTCGCGAGACGTCACCAGCACCCTGTCGACGGCGTCCCTCACGACGGAGTCCCTCAGGACGGGGTCCCTGAAGCCGGGGTCCCTCAGGACGGGGTCCCTCAGGACGGGGTCCCTGAAGCCGGGGTCCCTGAAGCCGGGGTCCCTGAAGCCCGGGTCCCTGAAGCCGGGGTCCCTGATGACAGGGTCCCTGAAGCCGGGGTCCCTGATGACGGGTTCCCGGAGGCCGCCCCTGTCCCTCACGAGGGGGCCGTCGTAGTCGTCGAAGTCCCGCGCGAGGCCGGCGGGCGGGCCGGGCGGGGCCGGGTAGGCCCTCGCCACGGACACGGGCTGCAATGGCTCCCACACGCGCGGCTCGGCCAGGGCCTCAGCCAGGGCCGTCAGCAGCAGCACCTGGTATGAGAAATCGCGTTGCTACGACGAGAAGTCGAGCACAGTGGGCCAGAAGACCAGTGAAGGCGGCCAAAACTCTCGACGCGTTTTATGCCCGAACCGAACGTGTGACCCCTCTTCGAACGAGGAATCCATTGGTGGGGTCACACGCTCGGTTCGGGCAGGCTCACCGGCAGGGCGGCGTTAACGGCGTGGCCGAGGGGCGCCGCCGGCGTGGCCATGACGGGCCGCAGCAGCAGCACCACGCACACGGCCTCCACGTCGAGCGCCAGGCACTCTCGCCTCTCGCCGGGCCTGGCCATGGCGCGCACCGCGCACACACAGGGCGGGGCGGGGCGGGGCGGGGCCGGGGGCCGCGGTCCCGCAGCCGCCAGGCATTGCAGCAGTACAGCGAAAACGGTCGAGGCAATTGTTCGCGGTGTCAACGGGCCCGTTTCTTCTTCCTCGTCCTGACTCGGCGGCTGTCCGCTGGTGGTGAGGTGGCGATGGCGGCGCTGCAGGCAGGGCCTTCTCGGAGGCGGTGAGCGTCACGGCCAGCATGGAGGCACCAGTCTCGCTGCTGCTGCTGGCGGTGAGTCCTGGCTCTGCCTTTCGCAAAGGGCGCCAGAAATCAACCAGGACAATTCCGAGCGATCTAAGACGATCCCTGTTCTGATCGGGCGTTCGAGATCTCGAAGTGGGACCTCGTTGATGGGCGGCCCTGTGCTCCGTCAGGTCGGCGCGTCCCTGGCGGCGCCGCAGTTCTTCGAGGCGGCCACGCAGCCCTACATGCAGGACCTCCAGGACCTCCGGGACCTCGAGCCGGCCACGCCGCCGGCCTTGGGGGACGACGACGCCGACCTGGAGCTGGCGGTGGAGGCGGAGGACGCCGCCGAGTACGGCTGGGAGGAGCTCAAGGGCTCGGTGGACGTCGTGGACGTGCCGCTGGCCGACGTGCAGTGGTCGCTGGACCAGCTGCCACCCTCCATGAGGAAGGTGCTGAGGCTGGTGCTGTTCGACAAGTACAAGGTCAACTTCACGTAGCGCCCCGCCACGCCGCGCAGAGGCAAAGTAGCACTTTTTAGCCAAGGCACTCCCTTGGAGACCGATGGAACACTGTTCGTTCCTCTTTTGTTTATTTTCTGTACGGAAAACATTTTTTGTGAATGTTGCTGGAAGGGTTGCTGTTCAACTTACCGTGCCCCCCCCCCCTTCTCTCTCTCTCTCTGTCTCTCTCTCTGCGGCAATACCCCGCGTCCGTCGGGTTGCGCGCGCGATACTCCGCGCGGCAGCACAGGGTCCCTGCAGGCACGGAGTATTGCCGCCGCGATGCGATGCGGCACAGTGTACAGTACAGCTGCTCGGCTCGGCCTGGCGGTCAACTTGGACTTCCGTGCCGTGGGACCGAGGTCGTCTCACTTCTACTCTCACCCGAGAGCGTTGCGCCGACATCACTTGGCTTGCAGAGCGCCGTGACGACAGGCAGTCCCGGTGCACGCCCCTGCCTGCTGGTTGCCTACGCGCTGCACCGCAGGCGCTCCGAGCTCTCCTCCAGACATATTTCCTCTTTATCAAAAGCTGTCCGATTTGTTTATTTCGGTAGTCCAGCCTGGACAACAACTAAACCCACGTGGTTGTGAAGGCTGGACTTCAATGACTTCATTCACATCAGCCAAAGGAGAGGCAAACGGTGAAAGCTTGCAACGCGTCGACCAGGAGACCGGTGCAGGCGGTCAGAATTCTAGACGCGTGTTGAGCTCCAGAGTCGCTAAATGGGACTCGAACCGACCGTGTGACCCCACCAATGGATTGCTCTCCGAACAGAGTAGCACGGCCACGCGCCGACACCCGCCGACACGCGCAGGGACGCAAGACGAGGAGTACCTCGCAAACACTCGGGCCTAACATGAGCGGGGACTCTAGCGGGACATGTTTTGCAGCGCCAGCCGCCCGGCCGCGTCGCGTCGCGGAGTCTGCGTAGTTCCTGACTTGCCTCCGCCGACACACACACACACACACACACACACACACAGCGACTGTGTTTTGATAGGCGCGGCCCTACCGGCGCGTGGCGCTACGGACAGCGTAGTATTGGCACCCACGTGGCCGCGCTGGCCGCGCGACGCCGCGCGAAAACACTCCCCCCTCCACCGCCCGCCCCTGCCCCTCGTCCGGCCGGTGACGTCACGCCGTGGGCTCGGTCCGCGGCCGGGCCGCCATTGGTCCGCGCCCGGCGGCGGGATCGCTCCTCGCGCTGCGATTGGCCGCGCGGCGCCGCTCACGCCACCAGAAGTCCTGGCTCTGGCCGTCCTGCGACCGCAGGACCATTCTCGGCCTGCCTCTCTCGCACCCACACGGAGCCCGCCGCGCGCCTGTAGGGCCGCCGCGAGTGCGAGAGAGACAGCGCACCGTTCGGAATTCGTCTGCTGGCTGCTCGAGAATAGCCCGGGGTCGGCCCGACGGCTGCACGACGGCCCGTCAACGAAAGTAGCGTCGCGGAAGAGAGCGGCGTCTCGTGCGGGACGGGGCACCTCTCTCTCTGGGGCCGAACGTGTGACCCCACCAATGGACTCCTCGTTCGGAGAGCAATCCATTGGTGGGGTCACACGTTCGGTTCGAGTCCCATTTAGCGACTCTGGGGCTCAGGACGCAGGTCCTTTGGCTCTCTTTGACTCACACCGTCTCGTCAGAATAACATTGCGACAAAGCCAAAACCCGCACGCGCCGAACGCTCACGCCACTGGGGCCTTGGCAAACCCCCCTCCCGCCCTCCTCTGCGCCACTGCGTTGTCATAGGTAAGGAACGGCCGCGCCACAGAGAGGAGAGAGAGAGAGAGAGAGAGAGAGAGAGAGAGAGAGAGAGAGAGAGAGAGAGAGAGAGAGAGAGAGAGAGAGAGAGAGAGAGAGAGAGAGAGAGAGACGTCACTTTGGGACAGATAAAACGGCCCACGCGATGCAGCGCCTCCTCGACATTACTCAATCTGGGAACACGTTTCGTGCGTAATAAATAATCCGCGGACGAGAAGGGAGGTGGCGTTTGTCATCGACTTCTCAACTTTACAGTACACATTCGGTGTTCCTCCTCGTTTAACCGCCTCGGGGGCTTTGCCTGCCGTGTCGCCGCCAAGCGCGAGTTGCCACTTACAGTGCTGTTGAGCAGGCTCAGCGATCAGCTGGGCCTTGGTGACAGACGCCGAGCGTGCGCGCGCATGAAGTGCTGCATAGGCTGAGTCCCAGCACTGCTCTCATCGCTCTGTCTCTCTCGCACTCGTGGGGCGTGCCGTCAGGGAGCGAGAGAGACAGCGGACGCGGAGCGAAGCGAGCAAACCCAACCCCAGTTCGTTGAGCAAGCCCACCTGAACGCGTGCGATATGGGCGGCGCAGATCGCAGGCCGACTGTCGTTGAAAACAGGATGTCCCAGCGCAAGGCGCACTCTCACACGCGCGAGAGCGGCGAGAGCCCTCTGTTGTGTTGTTGTTGCATCTCGAGCCTCGCACGTGGAGTGCGGCCTGCGGTCTGCTCTAGCCGGCGGGAAATGTCAATGCAGGCAAACAAGCCGTTGGTTATTACCGGGCCGACGCCTCACTTTCCCTCGGCCTCGCCGGCCTCGCCGGCCTCGCCTGCTGGGCCTGGATAGCGGCCAAGGCCTCGCCAAGGCTGGCCAAGGCCCCGACGCGCTCGCACAAGGCCGCCGGACAGACAGGCAGGGCAGACAGACAGACAGGCAGACAGACAGGCAGGCAGACGGACAGACAGACGGGCTGGGAAGAGGAAACAACAACAACGAAAGACTACGCACGTGCCGGTCTGAGGCCAGTCAGTGACTCACAGCAATCCAAGAAGTGAAATGAAACGATATAGCGGAAAGTGTAACTTGTCAGCTGGCACTTTTTGAGAGGGTATTAGTGCAGGTTCCCCTTTTGTTACAGGATGTCCAATTAGATGGTAGGCAAGCTGGGTGCGAGCCTTGTATAAGTGCATAGAAAAAGAGTTTTCAACCCGAGAGCATTTCGCCTCACATTGACACGGGGTAGTTTGGGCGCGAAATCATTGGCTCCAATTTGTGCATGCGAATTTAAAGCAATTTGATATAGGCGGCGGAGGCGGCGCGAAGTCGTGACACAACGCTCGTGACACAACAAAAACAACAACAAGTGCATGGCGGTGCACCAACCCCCTTCCCCTGGACACCTGTACCGCCACACTTTGTAGCAGTAAACACTGCGCCACCGTAGAAACCGCCCCGCCCCGCCCCGCCTCACCGCGGCGAGGCGATAAAAAGAATGACGGTAAACAAGCGGGCAGTCAGTCGAGAGCCAGCCTCCGAGCAGTTCGCAGCGCCCAGAAGCCCCGCGACAAAGAGGATACAGTGATACAGTGTGGTGCAGTGAATCGACGTGAATCGGTGGAACAAGTGTCGCCCACTTTCTCTCTCTCCCTCTCTGAAGCCGGTCTGTGGACGCCCCCACCCCCACCCCCTCCGCCGGGCGGCCCAGCCCTGGCTGGAGCCATGTCGTTCAGCAAGAACAGTACCAGCGATGCGTCTGCTGCCTCACACCAAACAGGTAAAAGTTTGAAAACAATACCGCAGTCTCTCTCGCACTCATGAGCGAGGGAGGTGGGAGGTGTGATCGACGAAAACCTAGAGCGAAATCAACCAGCTGGAGTTGGCGGGGGAATGCCATTCAGTCACGGACCACCCAGCAGAGCAGGGAGGTGCACACGACGGAGACTGATAGTCTCTCGAGTCGTTTATAAAAAACTGATACGTCTGAGGTCGTTTTAAAAAGGGAAAAAAAGAGGGAACGAGATACGGAGAGTGACAGCTCCACCGTTTGGAAACTGTTGGCGCGTTGGCTGGGGTGAGTTGGCAAACGTAGGAGTCCGCTTTAGCCCACAGGCAGTGTGGCTAGACTGGCACGCGTGTCGGTCTGTTCTAGAACTCTGTTTGGACAGCCCGCGGACTAGCTTAGTTGGCCGAACGGCCACTGGCGCGCTAGAGTAGCCGACGCTCTTTTGTCGTTTGGACTAGCAAGCATTCGTCTGCTAGGCGTCGGACAATGTTTTCGTACATTTACTCCAAAACAGCAGCTTGGCATTTTCGTGACGTATGATCAAAGTGACCTACGGGTTTTCCCCCTGTTCTAAGCTGAAGCCAATAGTTGCATTGAATCTCGCTTTACGCCGAGCCCTGAACCAAGGTAACGGAGTGACAGTTGCTCGCTGCTACCCTTTGTGACATCAGAGGGTACGCAACAGCTGACCGAAAATGCCAGAATTTTCTTGCCTTCCCTCAATTTTAGCCCTTTTTGGGAAAAATTAATCTGTATGACTACATTAAAACACCTCACTTCAGTTTCCACCTTTCCTTACTGGTTTCAAAAATCTAAATTTTAATATCAAACTCAAGAATTAGGAGGAAGTAACAGACCTTTCTGATAATAGGTTAGGTGATCTCGTATATGACTTCCAATTTTCCTATTTTGATTTTTGTATTCTTTCCCCGCAGGCAGTTGAATATTCAAAGTGCAAATCCCTTGCCGCCCACACGAGCTCAAAGTGACAAAATGTCTGTGGCACAGCTACGTGCCCTTTCTGCTACGCAATGGAAAATATTATCTCATCTTCGTGATTACTTGACAAAACCCTCAGACAATGGATATATCTTTAACCTCACCAAAGAATGGATGGCTCTACTTCAAAAATTGCCATCACTGCAACCATTCAGAGCTGCAGAGAAGACACTAAAAAGCGAAAGCATCAACTCAATGTCGACAACTTCAACCTTGTCTGCGTCTGCAACTGTCGACCAAGTGGATGCTGCTGGGATGGCATCCAGTACGCTAAATGCCAACGCTAAGCCTCCTGCAGATTCTCCACCACCAGCCTCCTCAGCGGCAGCTGCAGACACTTCATCTTCAAAGTACTCTCAGGTCTTCGCCAATCTCAAACTCTTTGGAGGGAATGGTGACAACGGCAAAGGCAATGGAGAAGTGGTTCAAGAGAAATCCAAGTGGCGCACTCAGAAGGAGGTTATATCTAAGGTGAGTAGATAACCGAAAACTTGACATTCCATTCCAAACTTTTGAATTAGTTTTGAATAAATCAATGGGTTTTTTTCTTTGTAGCACACTGTGCATTCTCGCACTCAGCATGTGATCAGTGCAGTGGCTTCATCAACAAACACTGCATCGAGGCTGAGGCGTTTGGAAGATTTACTTCAGCATTTTTACCAATTTCCAGAGTCCAAAATGTATGCAGGAAAAGTAAGTACAATGCTAGCTTTTGGTTTGGTTTGTTCCTTTTAGTTATCTTTGAATCAAACCATTTAACTTTATGTTCATTGTTAACATGACAGGAAGGAGCTGTAAACGTTCTTTTAAGAGTGCGTAATGAGGCAAGTGATGAAACAACCATAGCTTTAACACGAGAAATACTGACCACCCTTGGCTACATAGATCCTGTACCTGGTCCAGGCATTCGTGTTCTGTCTATTGATGGAGGCGGTATTAGGTATGGCTTCTTTTTCATTTCCATTTTTGTGTTATCTGCTTTAAGAGTAATATTTTTATATTATTCTTGGAACATTAATTGGGATGTTTTGAACTTTACAGAGGAGTTCTTGTCATTGAAATGTTAAAGAAGCTCGAAGAGTTGACTGGGAAACGGGTTTATGAATTATTTGACTACATTTGTGGTGTCAGTACTGGAGCCATTTTGGCATGTGTCTTAGGTATGTTAAGTTACTACCAGTCTAACTACTTTCATGCAATTTTAAATGTTCTCTGCTTGACTGTTATATTTCTATTGTTTTAGCACCTCAAAGAATTTCACTTGATGAAGTTTCTCATCGTTACAAAGAACTGAGCACAAAAATCTTTACTCAAAATCCTATTTGGGGCACGAGTAATTTGGTCTGGAGCCATGCCTACTATGATACAACAATGTGGGAAGATATGCTCCGTACTTACGTAGGAGACACTAAACTTATCCACACCAGCCGAGACCCCGTTTGTCCAAAGGTATTATTTCTTGAAGTCATGCATGACCTCTTGACCATCTTGACTTTTCTCCGTGTAACAAATAAATTAAAAATCATGTACTTTGTGTGTTTCAGTTCAGTGCTGTGTCAACTGTAGTGAACCGTGAGCGAGTATCAGCTTTTGTGTTTAGAAATTATGAACTCCAGCACCGCATTCAGTCTCAGTACCTTGGAAGCAGCCAGCATGCAACATGGGAAGCAGTTAGAGCTTCATCCTCTGCACCTACTTATTTCGAAGAGTTTCAGCTCGGGGATCTTCTTCATCAGGTAAGGCATTTGTCAAGATATTATCTTTATGTAATGGCACCCATAATCTTTGATTTGGATAGGGTGCTGAATCTTGCAAATAACTGCAAATTCAAGAAAAAAAAAATTTCTTATAACTTTTCTGTTGTGCTCATTCAGGATGGTGGAATCATGGTAAATAACCCAACTGCAGTGGCCATTCATGAAGCTCGCCTTCTGTGGCCTGGCGTTCCCATTCAGTGTGTTGTGTCGTTTGGAACTGGGAGGTGTAACCCAGTGACTCAAAGAACTGAAGTTGCTGAAGTGGCAAAAGGGTCATCTTGGAGGAACAAATTCAACAAAATTCTTGACAGTGCGACTGATACAGAAGGTATGTATTGCTACTTTTTCTTTGATATAAATTTACTAAGCATTTTTCAATGGCATTTTAAGGTGAGGTGTGGGTGAAAATTTGCACCAAAATTGATTAAAATGATATATTTAATCTACTTGTTATTTTAATGTAAAATACTCTTCTATTACAAACAGCATGGCCTAAAGGTCTTTGTTATGAACCCCTAAGTGAGTGGTTCATCTAACATGGACTGATATATGCATGCGCCTTTTCTGGTCACCCAACTCTTACGACAAGTGTCGAAGAAATTTTTTTTCTACTCCGTCAATTAGCCACGCATACAGTTTTGTTTTATACTGACCATACTTCCTGGAGTAGTTCTTTGTGGTCCATGTGACAATGTAACAGAGAGATATTTCAAATGTCTATCCACTTTCTTAAATCGTTTACCTTAAAGTGGTAAAAAATGGAGAAAAAAACTTATTTTTTCAAATTAAAAAATTGTGAAGTTTGCTCAGTCAAAACCAAAAAATAAAATTCAAATATCTCTCTGTTACGTTGAAGTATTGGGGTTTAGGTAACGCCAAAACAAATTTCAGACCATTCCGTCAAAAAACTTTGCGTGGCTGATTTTTCTACTAAACGCTTAATTTCAATGAAAAAAGCCTACTGTGGCTAAATGGGTGGGTAGATTTGGATGAAATTTGGAGTGTAATAGTTTCCTACCTAGTACTTTAACGCCCTAAAGTTTCAACCAGCACAGCCAAGTGGTATAGAAATTTCCATTTTCACCCACACCTCACCTTAACACTTTGAATCTTTTTTCAGCTGTCCACACCCTTTTAAATGACCTTTTGCCGGGCAATGTGTACTACCGGTTCAATCCCTATCTTACTGAGATGGTATCCATGGTGGAAATTCGCCCAGAGAAGATTTCTCAGCTTGAAATGGATGCAGAAATGTACTACAGACGAAATGAAGAAAAATTCAAGGAGGCAGCTCAAGTTTTAGTCCAAAAGAAAAATGCTGCTCAGAGAACCATGGATTGGGTCAGCCTGCAAACTAAACTAATTGGACTGAAGTCGAACTTATAGGTCAGGGTAATGTTGTTGAGAGTTGTGTTTCATCTTTTTGTTCATGCTGATGAAGTGCGTTCAGGCAATCCTCTTCGAAGCCCTTTTCCATGGCTTGTTCGGATGGACAGTTTACTGTTGATCTGTCAGTCGTTCAGGAAGCTATTTGTCTTATACTAATGATTTGATAATATCTACCTGTACAAATGGAGCTGTACTGTGATAGCTGATATTTCAGTCACTCGCCCAGTCATAGGTTTAATTTGAGCAATACCAATGAAACATTTTAGAGCTTTATTTATCTGTAGACTCTGCTGAATTTTTCAGTCATTTAAAATTTTCACAAACTGCACACCTTAGCATATGTTATTTCAAAACTACCATTGTTGACAAAGATTTGTTCCAAACATACATACATATAGGTGGAAATTTCCTGTTTGTTCCCCAAACCACATGTATTCTGTGTGCAAGGTGTAATATAATTAAGTTGAATTGTAATGTAAGGAAAAATCAATATGTGACTCTTCATGTACTTTACCTGTGATATTTAATTGTTCAACTATAGATTCAATGTATGGTGTTTGTACAAATGTGTTTTAAATAAATTATTTAAAAAAAAACTTCTCTTTATAAAACCCTTATTCATACCAATTAAAATTTGTCAGAGAATTATACATCAAAGGCTGCGGATATTCAATCCCTTACCCGTTCGGGGGCTAAAACAAGAGATCATTCGTGGCTGGTTCAAAAATTGCCGCCAAAGGTGTGACCAACTTAATCTCATTGAACAACAAAGTCAGGAGAGTTAAACAGCCGTTGGCTCATGGGCATCCACACTAATGAAACAATGTATTCGTCACATTTGTAATCTGTCACTATCCCTTGATCCCTCATTTGACGATCGTTTCTAGGTGTCAAGAGTCGTCCAGCATGAACAGTACCAACCTTTGTTTGTTTGACGTTTGTTGTGCTTTGTTGCAAAGACGACCAAAATAAGTTCCAGGACAGAACCCGGCTTAAGCTGTAAGTCTTCACATAATCTCAGTTGTGTTCTTGATGAAACCCTTCCTCAAACTCTCTTCTGCCTGCTATCTTTATTTCGGTCTCCCAGAAGTTGACATAGCTTCGTTGAGGGTGAGAGATATGTTATATGTGAGAGGTTAGGTTTATTTAGTTAGTGTGTTGCATATGCATTTTGTTCTGTTTTATGTAACAACAATAGTTTACGTGATGACTATAGCGGTCTGCGCCTCCCTGTTGCCTAATTTGTTTAACTTTTCAGTGGAACACCTGTATGCAACTGATATATTAGCTTTGAAGAGTTTGGCTATGACTGTTGACCATCTTTCTGGTTGTGTAGCAAGAATTTTAAATAAACATGAGTCATGTTACTCGATGATCTAGATCCGTGCTCATTAAAGGGATGTCCTACAAACTAGCTGTTTTATGAATTAATCCAATTTGTTTTGATTTCAGTTCCTTGTTTTGGTTCTTCAAATTCTGAAAAGAAGACCGCTAGTATGGATACCTTGATAAAGCTTGTAAGTTGCTTAAGGATTTTCTTTAACTACACTGCATTTTTCCTACAGATTTAATTACTTTCTGTGTTTCATTTTGTTCCAGATTCCTGAATTAGGGCGGGAGTATGTTCACATAAAGTGTCCAAGCAAAGTTGTGTCAATTTTGGGCAAATTTGCAGCAGGTGGTGTAAATGCCTTACAGGTGAATATAAATACAGTATATCTCAGTTTTGATAATTATCTTCCCGCTGCCAGCTTTAACTATTACCATGTTCTATTTCTTAGGTGATCGCTGACTTTGACCATACTGTAACGAAACAACATATTCATGGTGAACGACATGTGTCAAGTTTTTGTGGGTGCCTTTTTGATCTAGATACTCTTTCAATTATTGATCCATGTCTATTTTTCACAATTTATTAACTTAATTTGTTCAATCAGGTGTAGTTAACAAGTGCACTGTTCTGCCAGAAGATTTTCGGGACAAAGATCGCAAGTTGTTGGAGAAATATTTACCTATTGAAAGGGATCCAAATTTATCCAAGGAAGAGAAGATACCCTATATGGTTGAGTGGTACACCACCACTAGTGAATTGTTAAATGGATTCCCTCTCGGATCCGATGAGATAGCAAGTGCTGTCAAAAAGTCTGACACTCAACTCAGGTAAATTTTTATCAATGTGTCAATAACTTAAGCTTATTCAATCCCCTGGCATGATCTGTTTTCATCCTTCAGAACAGGAACAGCTGAGCTAGTCAATGCTCTCGATGAAGAAGATGTACCTATGCTAATATTTTCTGCTGGTCTTGGTGATGTTGTAGATGCAATTTTAAAATGTCATGGTGTTGTTAACAAAAATATCCATGTGATTTCTAATTTTCTGAAGTATAAGGATGGACATGTTAATGGATTTACCAATGACATTGTGCATCCATTCAATAAGAATGGCAAAGCTGCAGAACACACAAAATACTTTGAGGTAGGAGTTGAATTTTGAATTTTGTAGCAGAAAGCCGTGTTGTCTTTTTTTTCTCATGATCTGGAAATTTTCTTAGTTAATGTCAAGTCGGCACAATGTGATTCTCATGGGTGACAATTTGGGTGATGCTGAAATGGCTGATGGTGTACCAAACACTGATGCTGTTTTGAAGATAGGATTCCTGTATGGTGCTGTGAGTGATGTCTCCTTTACTGGCAGACTTTCATCCTTCCTAAAAGTCTTGTATTGACTAGTTTTTATTTTTATTTTCAGGTTTCTACACTTCTGCCTTCATACATGGATCATTTTGATATCGTCCTTGTCGATGATCAGACAATGGTCATTCCAAACTCTATTTTCAATCATGTTAAGAAAAACTAGCTGAATCCAATGAGTAGACCATTATACCTGTGGCCCAGTGAAGAGACAGACATAAGCAATCAAAAGGACTAAAATATGGAAACCTTTAAATCCTTCAAAGGATTTTTCCTTTAAAACATAAAATCCTTTAACTTGCTTAAAGTTTACATTTTCCTGTTTTCTTTTAGTCAATCATAAATACACCAATGATTCCATCTTTTCCTATAATTCAAAACCACTTGATCTGTGTAGGGAATCTCTTGTTGGGGATCTCTTGGGAATACTGTTACAGACATAAATCAATGGCTTGTCTGATATTCTCCCTTGCTTTTGATTTCTCTTCTTCATTTGACTACAGCACAAATGGTTTCTGCTAAGCCAATCTAGGTGGGCACTCAGATTTATGATTTTCGGCTCCATGTATGCCTTCCTGGTTAAAGATTATTTATTTGATCTGGATATTGACACCGCTTTTGTTCCTGTGTTTTCAAAATAATTAATGTGTGGTGTGTGAACTTGTGTTGTGTATTCTCACCTTTTGTTCTTTGTTTGTTGAAGTGAGCAGTTACATTTTATTAAAACGTTCTCATTTAAATAAAAACCAGCTGTGTACATCGAAACGTTATTTGCACCTAACTTCCTTGCATGTAGAGGCAGAGATATGCACAGTGTGTTGTCTGTTGCAGAAGGCACCCAAGCCCCTGTCGGAGTTGACACATAACTATTTGAAATTTTCGTGAAGAGACTTTGCCTCACCAGACCGACCTCGCAAAGCGCAAAGCACTCTCTCGCGCACGCTTCGGCGGGCCCTAGTGACCGGGTCACTAGCAGTCACTACACTAGCGGGCCCTAGTGACCGGGTCACTAGCAGTCACTACACTAGCCGGCCCTTCCCTGGCGAGCACCGCCTCCTAGAGTCGCGTGCCCACGGAACAGGACTGCGACGCAGCGGCAGGACTTCAATTAATGCAACAAACCGAATACAACAGTTAAATAGTCGGTCGCAGAGGCGACCGACACTTCTCCACAACCTAAAGGGAGGCACATGACATTTCGTGTTTTTGAACACAGCCGGCTTGATCTTGATAGGGAAAAGGACGGGACGGCAACACCGCACGCAGACGCAGTTTCCTTCGAGTAAAACATGGTGGATGTTTGTATGAATTTTGTAAATTGTGTTCGGCGTCCCAAGTTCCATGAAACGTTGGCCGTTTGAATTATACTTGGAAGAGTGGTTTTTATGTGGTTTGAGTGGAGGCGTCCACGGTTGTGGCTTGTGCACTCTTTGAGTGAACTCTTTTCCGTGCACCACTTGATTTTCTTCATAAACCAGCTAGCGCCAATGAATATTTTCTGCAACTTTTCTATCACAAATGTGAACGCCCTATCTTCTGAGTAAGTCCTTCCTTGATGTTGCACATTACTCTACAGTTTTATCTGTTCTTTCCTCAGTTTTAAGAATGTTACTGAAAAAAGAGACACTGCTTGTTCGTGGGGGCCGGTTCCCAATGCTCTGTCCTCTCCTCGGACAATAACATTTCGCCGATCTAAAGTTATTGCAGACATTTGAACAATATACCTTTAACTATGATAATCAATGTTCCCAAGTTATACTTCTGTTTTACATGATATGTAATTTCTGTATTTCGGTTTGGTCAGAGAGTGTTGAGGTTATGGATGTCATCAGCTTGAACCTCATCTCTGTTACAGAGGCTTCAGTTGATTCTTTATCTGTTTTCGTCGATCAATTTTTACCAATACTTCAGCTCAATTTCTTTTTCAGGAACTTGTACCGAACTACACTTTTGTGATGATCTAGTAGCGGAATCATGTCCACCTTCAACGACCAGGGATTTGAGAAAAAGCTTCTAGGGCTGAAAGACTCACAAGAGAGTATATCTACCTTATCTGACTGGTGCCTTCAAAATAGACAACATCACAAAAAAATAGTTGCTACATGGTTAAGTGTTTTAAAAAAAGGTACAGGAGATAGAAGAGTAACCTTGCTCAACACTGTGTTATTGGTACTTCTGTATCTAATATTATTTTTTATGTTTTCAGTTCGAGTTGAAAATCGTCTCACTTTGTTTTACCTTGCTAATGATGTCGTCCAGTACAGCAAGAGAAAAAACTATGACTTTGTGGAGAGTTGGGGTACTGCATTACAAAAAGCTACAACCATGGTTCGGTGTGTATCTCTTTTGCTTTTTAATATTGTCTGTACTAAGCTTCTGATTTATCAATAATGTGTTTCTACTTTTGCAGGCATGATAAAGTTATTGACCGAATCATGCGCATCTTCAAAATTTGGGGTGAACGGAATGTATACAGTGAAGAGTTTCTTACTGATCTTCGTGGCCTACTAACTGCAAAGAAAGCGACTCCTGCTACTCCTCAAGCAGCAGCGAAGCAGCCTGAGCAGCAAACAGCTTCAACATCCACAACATCAGGAGAATTTCATGTAACTGTCTTTACAACTTTATTCTCATCACTCATATTTTGCCACAAGTTGTTGACCTATCCTATCCTCTTGTTTGTTCCAGCAATCCATTCTTTTTACAAGGATCAACAAATGCAAAGAGTTGGAGGATGACACTGATCTCAAACTTAAAGTAGTAAATGACTGCAAATTAATAAACTTAAATGATTTGGATGCCTTTCGGGCCATGCTTAAAGGTATAAATTTTGTTTACTCTCACCTCAATTTATGTTTATAATTTTTGTTTCTCAACCTTCCTACATCTGCTATTTCAGATCGAAAACATGCGGATGGGGTGGCTGGAGATCTAGACCAGGCAGTTAAGCAGGTGGAAAATTATACTAAAGCCTTGGAAGTTGAAATTCTAGAAAGGAAGGCTGTAATTGATCTTCTTCAGCAAGCCACAAAATTTTATGAAAATGAAAAAGCGGATGCCAAAACCGTATTTAATGTTAGTATATTTTAACTAAACATTGTACTTAGTATTGTGTCAATTATTGTGCTTACGAACCTTGTGACTGTTTTAATTTTCAGGCATATAGAAATTTTGGCAGCCGTGTTAAGTCTTTGAAAAGAAAACTAGATGAACTCATTCCAACTCTATCAAGTCCGGTTCCATCTCCTGATGTGAATGCTCCATCACCATCCCCAGATCTGGATCTTGATCTTCCCAACGATGAGGATCTATCAGGTATTGTCGAGCTTCTGGAGGATATTGAAGAAGCACCTGCCGAAAACGACTCTGACACTGATGATTTGATGAGTATCATATCGTATCATAGTTCAGATGAGGAAAACCCTAAATTTTCATACTTTGAGTTATTACGCATGCCAATTCATTTGCGAAGGCGCCAGCTTCCTTTGCCAAATCCTACGTTTTCCGACTCTGATCTAACAGAGCTTGATGATAGTTTTGAGGATGTTGATGATTCTAATAATTCATTTAGAGATTTCAAACGCACTTGTTCTCATGTTCAGACTCCCATTAGAGCCTCAGGAATTTCTATGCATCTTGGTCAGGATTTACAAGGTACCATTAAGCCATCAAACAGTGTAATTAGCAATCAGTCCTCATTAACACAGCCCTCAAAGTCAATGAAGCAAGTTATCAGTGAGTCTGGTATTACTGAAAGCTCCACAGCCAATGTCTTTAAAGAACCGGTGCTAAAGAAACTTCCTAATTCAGCAGACAAGCCTTTGAAAAATATTGCTGAAGCCAACTGTCCGCTTGTGAACGATGCATTAAGACTATCGCACGAGCAAAATTCTCTATTACCAGGAGATGTCTCAGAAAGCAGTTCAATGTCTCTTGTGTTATCCAATGATGAAATAAAATCAAATAGCAACTTAGAGAATTCCATCTCAAATGGAACATTTCTTGATTTGGATAGTGATTTTCTTCCCTCGGATGAAGACTTGACAGGTCTACTAGAGTGTTTAGTAGATGACCCAATAAACACTGATGCTCTCGGGCCAGCTGAATGTAGCAGCCCTGTATCTGAAGCAAATGAGGCTAATGACTAACTCTTCTTTTAATTGACTGAAGCTTGTTGTGAAAAATTCAAGGCTTTTGTCTAGATGTGGGACTTGTTAACGCTTTGAATCTCAACTAAGCGGTCACAAGAAAAACAAAACTTATGCATGCAATTTTTAGTTTTGACATGCACTTAAAAATGTACCTGATTTGATTTGATTTTTACTACTAGGGTGTTTGATATTCCTGTCTTTTCAATAATATTTGTTTTTCTCATTTCTTCTGCCTAAGAGACCAGAACAATTTTTTTTTATGTGATCTTCCTTAATTGGGGCTGTTAAATTGCTAAAAGTCAACCTCATCAAGAAGTGCCAATTTAACTTTACCTTTCTGTTACACTACTCCTCTTCAATAATCTTCCAACTGATATTAATCCATGTAGCACAACTCTCACTTTCTAAATGTAGTTTTTATATTGAATTATCTGTCAGGTTTTGTTTCCATCTAGAAGCTATTTCAACCAATTATGATTTGTGTATTGTGTGAAATATTAACCATTTGATCAAACTCTCTCATGAATCGAGAATCTTTTGCAAGTAACTTGATGTGATCATTATGCTAGAATTACTTTTCTAGCCTAATTCTAAAAAAAAAAAAAAAATAATTGTCCTCTTGTTGTTAACTTTTGCTTGTTATATGTTCCTTGAGGAGCAAAGGTAACAGGGTTACTCAAAGTACAAAATTATATTCTTTTTAAGTAGTTCCCAATGACCATGGGATTTTTGCTACATTATAGTCATTACGATTCGGTGTGTATTTGCATCGCGTTGACGCTCTAAGTGCCATTTATTTATTTGTTTCAAGGCATCTTTTAGACTCGTATTAGACTGATTAAGACTTCTTGGAGCACAGAATATAATCTTCTGGTTTCAATTGCTGTGTTCACTCAGTAAGAATGTACTTAATTAAATATGATTGTTTAGCCCATATGCTGTGGCTAATTTGTGACAGTGTTTTATTTTAATGATATTAGAGATAGTTACAATGTACCTTTTTAATAGATATTTCTATTGGTGAATAAATTTAATTAGTTAAGCACTAGTTTTGTCTTTTTTTTCTTCAGTTCCCTTGATAATCCTATGTCAATACTAAAGTGTCAAAACAGCACTTTTAAAACGCTGTCATAAGGAAATAACTATGTTTGTAGTTAAACAGTATCAGAACCGTTTTGATGAAGGGAATTGAAGAAATAAAGATCTAAACATCTCAATCTAATTTTTATCCATTTCTTCTTATCTATCTTGTGCATTATTTGCATTCATTGAAATTAGTTGGCATTCAAATTTATATCATTTTTACTCTATCTGTGCAGCAAAACCAGCTCCGAATACGAAAAGAGGACCCAGCTTTAATCAAAGTGCTGATATGGAGAATATGCCGTTTTCAAGCTTTATGGGAAGTGGTAGCCTTCCCTTTGACATTCAGGTACGTTTTTTTTATAAACACTTTGTTATAATTTGTGAGTGACAATATTTTGAAGTAATGTCTCTTTTTTTCTTGTAGAGTAATCTATTCAGTGATGATGGGGGCAACCGTGCTAACGTTTCTATTACTTCTGAAGGAGAACCTGAGGTAGGCCAAATTACTGTTAAATTAACATTCATTTTCTGCAAAACTGTCGGGCGGTAACATTTTGTACAGAAATCCCTTTATTCACAGGGCAAACCTATTGAAGTTATTGGCCGAAGGAAAGGGGAAGATAACTTTGACATAACAAATTTCTTAAAGACCTTGGCGCAAGGATCACCCAGCACTCAAAAGCCAAACGCCAATGCCCCTGCCTCTGCTTTGATTCCTGGACTTGGAGATCCCCTGCCTGTGCCCCCGCCAACCATTCCTAGCGACTATCCTTTGCCCTCGTCTTCTCCCTCTTCTGTACCTGTGCCTCCTCCGCCCATGCCACCAATGTTTGACACTTACTCGCAAGACAGTCGAGACAGAGAGGATGCATGGAATACATCGTTGCCTGCCAAGTTTCCAACATGGCGAGATGCCCAAAATGCTAACTGGGCCAGAGGTGATTCTGATGCCCAAGATGGTGGGGAGTGGATGCCTGCACTACCTGTACCCAAGGTACCACCGCCTCCCCTTCCTCAAAACCTTGAAACACCGGTAGGACTCGACTCTCCATTGAGGATTTTTCTGTTTTAGTTTTGGCTTGTGTGTGTTTGTGAAATTTTTAGATTTCATGTGTATTGTTTGAGTTGAATATTTGGGAATAACAATTGTAGGGTAGAAAAACCTGAAGCTAGTAGTAGTCCCTGTAGTGGCCAGCATTTAAACTGAATCATTCAAGTGTGGTCTAATGGTATTTTGTTTTAATTTTTTGTCTTTTGTATTTTTTCAGGAATCACCTCCTAATTTTGAAAAAGAATCATTCCGGGAACCTGTTGAATACGATGATACAGGTACTTCTAGAAAGTCCTCCGTTAGCTCCGATGTTGACCACCGATCGTATTTGAGCCATTCTACGTCACCCAAAGATGTCGATCATCGAGTTTTAAACAACCGCTTCAAAAAGGATGTGGATCATCGCAATCTCATCAGTCTGACTGGCTCTCCAAGAGAACTTCAACCTCCTCCCTTACCACCAAACTTGTGGGGTGATGTGGACCAGGACTACCGCTTGCCAAGGCAGCAGCCTCGGCCCGGGGACAACGTAGAAAGTGTTGACATGGAAATGAGTGATGAGGAGGAAATAGAGCGGCAACAAGAGAAGGGTAGATCAAGGGAGGAGTCTCCAACTAAACGGACAAGTGTGGAGTCTCCTTTGAAGGACAGAGAAGACACAGCAAAGCCCAAGAGCCCTCATCCTTTGGCTGGTTCCAAGATCATTTCTCAGCGTTTCAATGTGCCTCCTCCCATGTCAAGGCCGCCATTTCCACCGCCACCACGTCCTCTCTTTCCTGAAGGACAATTACCGCCCAACAGGTTTGACTCGCCTGGTTTGAGTTCTGATTTTGGTAACTTCAATAATGTAAACAGATTTTCTATGCCACCTATTCCTCCTCCCCCAGCCCTGCCTCTCACAGGCCCTCCTCCTGGGATGCCTATGAGAATGCGCCACCCCAGCATGAATTTGTTACCGAATATCCTTCCGCCTGCCCCTTTATTAGCAATTCAGACCAGGTCTCCAGGGCCAGTGTCCTTGGCACACAGGTCGCTGGAAATGTCTCCCCCTACAGCAATGCCCGCTTCAAACACTCAAGCTACTCCTGTTGGACTGCACTCCTCCGGACCAGAAGAATCTGACACTGATTCAATTGGTCAGTACCTCAACATGGGGCTGTCGGACGATGAAGAAATAAAAGAAATGGTTGAAAGTATGGACCCTCAACTGTTGCAAGAAGTGGTTGATGGAATCAACATTGGCAACGGCTCGGACAAGATAGATCTCAGTTCATTTATACCGAACAATGGTGACTCGGAAGACAATGAAAATGACTGGAATGGCCAGAGTGACTTTGAGCCGAGCATGCGGGGAGTCGCTATGCCGGCCGGCATCCGACCGTGGAAGCCGCGGCAGGTCGGCCAAGGCGTTCCCGGCCAAGGCGTTCCCGGCACCCCGCCCGGGCCGCCCGCCTTGGCGCTGGGCCTGGTGCACGCGGTGCACACCCCCCCTCCCATGTCCCCCGCAGCCGCAGCCGGTCGCTTGAGGGGCCACCCGGGCCATCCGGGCCATCCGGGCCACCCGCCCAACTGGCGGTCGCCCCCGATGCACGACAGGGCGCATGCAGGCGGCATGTCCAGAGGGAGAGTCTGGAACTACAGACAGCTCCGAGGCAGAGGGTCCCCTGGTCCCAGACAGCCATTTGGCGGCAACTGGTGAGGCTGCTGCTGCTGAGGCGTGCCCGTGCGCAGGTGTCTTAGCAACGTTGCCTTCCTTTGATGATGAACTGTTCCTCTATTTTGTAAATCAGGGTCCCAAATATGACCCTCCTGCACTACTGATAGTATTCTGTTTTCAAGGGTGCACTAGTGAGTAGATTTCCCCCTTGTGTTGAGTGATCAGTGTGATAATTTGTAAATTTCTTAAAGAAATGTTGCGTTGGAGGGGTTTATTCATTTTGAGGTGGAAGGAAACGTTGGTTTATTTCTGTTTCTGAAGTAACTGATGTGGGTTTCTACCATCCTGTCTGCTTTTCCTTTAAAAGCGCAGTACTAGTCTGAGGTCGAGTTCAACTCAACCTTTGAAGATGATAGTCCAATCATTCATTTGTTATTGTTGTTTGTGTGGATGTTGTTCCTGGGTGAGGGTTTGCCTTAAGCATGAATTATAAATACTGGGCCAGGGCCAGAAGCACTCATTTGTTGTATCTGATATATAAATGTTTTATGTTAATTTTCTCTACACTTTGGGGAATGTTTAGTGTGCTGTGCTTTCAGTCAGAAGTTAATTGAGGGCAAATAATATGTTTCTTAAAAATATATATCTACCTATATATATATATATATCTATATGCATAATTTATTTTTGTCACTAGGAAAAATTATATGGCAGGCTGCAATAGTGATTATTTTGATTTAGACACCAGCATCACAGCTTGCTTTAAGCAAGCTTTGTTATGATCATACCTGAACCAATGTGATGCCCCTTTCCTGCATTTAGGCGTGTCACATATTTACGTGATTCTGTGCATGCATTGCTAGTGATAATGTTATCACATATTAGCTCAAAAACAAAAGGATGGAAGGCTATCTGGTTTCTTAACAAGGGCAGCATTGTTTCCAATAGTTTTAAGATATAGAACTCGGAGATGCATTTTACCACCAATACTTTTTACTGTGTGCAATCTTGTCAATATGCTAAATGCCTCAATAGGATTTCTTTGCTTGGTTTTTCACCCAGCAGTCTATGATAAGTTATTTGCTGTCACTGCTTTTTCATGAATCTTAGATTTTTGTCTAGTATTAACTTTCTGGGTGGACACATTTTTCAGAAAGCAATCTCTTGAGTTGTACACAAATAACTTATCTTGAGTCCCTCCGTGCCATTCATGTCTTATATTTCCTTTGACTGAACTTGTGAGGTTTGTGTATGTTGTAAAGAAATTGCATATTATGTTGTAAATGTTCTTCGGTTCATGTAACCATCATGCACTACATCGCTTATAATTGTTTGTGATGTCCATCATGTGTCCAAACCTTCCGCTGTATGGTAATTGAAACATTCTGAAGTTTCAAAACGGTTGTGTAATTTTTGATTCAAGCTAATTTTTATGTTGGTTTATTGACAACATGGAGAAGGAAGACTGATCATAAATTTAACTTCTCATTGGACTGTTAATACATTAATCAACTTTCAAAAGAGTAATTCTCTGAATATGTGACTTACCTATGAGCCAAAGCCATCATTTTGTTCAAGTTAAACCATACTGTTAATCATTTGGTTAGATTTCATTGTAACATTTTGTGATGAGCCTTGTTTTGCCCTAATTCGTAGGGCACAAAATACAGTGAATGATGATGTAGTTGGCTTAGCAAACGGATAAAATCAAAGCTACAAACAGTAGAAGTTATACTGTCTAAATTTTTAAGTTGTTTTTTGTTTTTGTTTTTTTGTCCAAGTCTCCACCCTTAGTACAAATTGGAATATCTGATACTGATAAAACTTCTGGCCCTTTCAACAAGCGTCCAGTGAGTGTATGTCCTGTGGATTTTGTAACAACAATTGTTGTAAATAATGCTTTTGTTATCTTCTTCTTGTTTTCCCCCTCTTTTTTTAGATGTTTGCTCACATTCATTTAAGCTGTCCTTGAAAATTTTTAATCAGAAGTGTTTCTCTATTGTGACTGTTTTTACCATTTTATGGGAAGACTCTAATTGTCTTTGTAAACGTAGAGTTTGTTCCGAAATTCAATCATCTTCTAGGTTTTTTGGATCTGACAAATCGATTATCAGAGAGAAATATGTTGAAATTTTAATGGAGTCTTGTCTCAAAGTGCTCTAGTTTTCTTTTCCATTTGCTGAAAAACTGTGTACGTTCGCCATTCTCATCATCACCACCATCTATCCTTTCAACCCCTCCCTACATATGCGTGATTAATAGGGGACTTACAAGTTTCTCAGCATACATCCTTCCGCATGCTTCTTTTCATTTATTCCTTACATTGTCTTTTTCTACTCATCAATTTTTCTTTGACAGTTCTGTTTCTTGATTTGGACATAAATGAAGTTGTTCCCAATCAAATGATTATATGTTGATGCCAGCTTTTGCCAAACAGCAGTACAAATTAATTTCACTCTATTTTCCATGCCTGTGATTTGGACTATATCTTTTCACAGTAGCTCAAAGTTTTCTGCATTTCCTCTTTGTTTTATTATTATTTCTCTCATTTCCATTTCATGCCAAGCAAGCTCATCTGTTAAAAAAGCAGATTGAAATTTACCTCTCCATCTGTTGATGACATGAAGTCTTAGACAGTTGGGTGTTCTTCTTTTCTTGCAGATTTTAGAACCAAAGTACACAAAACTAGCCTCTTCAAACAAACGAGCCATACCAACAGAAATAAAAAAAAAACAATGTATCTTGATCACACACTTTTGACACTCTTGGAATCTGGATAAATTCTGCAGGATCAACACAATTATGTTCACATTTCTCTGGAAAGCAAATAAAAAAGCTTGGTGGGAAGACTATATTCCAAATTATGTGAGTTGATGTCACATAAATTTATACAACACTTTTATTTTTAACAGTTCTTTTTGTTTTTTGGTCAGTTTTAACTCCTTTTGACAATTGTGGTTTCAATGTGATCTGACTGGGAAGAGTGTGTTAAACAAGAGAAACCTTCCGATGGTTACGTCTCCCTATATTTTCACTTGCCACAGTACATGAACAGCTTGTTTATTGTAGGCGGTTATCATCAAATATATGCCAAAGAAAGAATCCTTTCCCAATACAAATTACATTTCCATGCTTACAATATCCTACCGGCCAACATGAATGACTTTAAACATCCATCACATCACCTCAAGGAAAAAATTACAATTTTCTTGTTTTTGAAAATTGGGTAGGTTTTTATCTGTTTGAAAACGTTGCGCGGCATCAGGAAGACCGTTGCCAGTATTGTATAAAAAATAGTGTTAGGTTTTATAATTTTAAAAGAAAATTCTGATTTGATAACCACAAATATTGACGAATAACACCTCCCTAGTCACTTCATATTAGAAAGTGTCAAAGTTTATGTTCTACATGGACAGGACACATACAATATCCAGAAAAAGCCATTTAGTTAAGTACTCTTTTAAGATTGATTTTCTCACTCTGTAAACTTGCAGCAGTGGCAGGGTGGATTTTCCATTTGTTTCTGTGACGCCATTTCATATACAAACCCAGGAGATTTTTCCTTAGCAAAATGGTAGGTTTGAATTTGACTTTTTATGACACTTTCTGGTTTTGTCTTATTTCACTGTAATCATGTTATAGAGGTCCCTCTTTTGACAAAAGTTTATCTGCAGTCCATCAACCCTTTCATCTCATCTTCCATTTATTTATTTATTTATGTGTTCATGTTGAAAAATGAACAATCCAGGATTCTCCATTCACTGTTACGCTTCCCTGTTTGAAATCACTTCACATTTTGTGTATCGTTTTCTATTATGTTGTGTTAGCTGTATGATCCATTGGTCATTCCCTGAATTGTTATTTTTCCTTTGTTGTAATTTTTCCTGTCATGACAACTTTTTTGTAGTTGTTGTTGATCATACTCATCTTTGTTTGTCGTTTGTTATGGTTTTCTCATTTTATTTTATTTCTCTAACTCTTTAGAGACCACTAATGATTGACTGAATAATGCACATTATGTACCTGTGATTCTGTTAGTGCCTTTACTGTATCTTGTAGATCGATTGTCAAGTGTAGGTATTGTACTGTGATATAAAATGCCGATCTAAATGTATTTCCAGGTTGCTGTATTTCAACCCTGCCCCCCTTTTTCTTGAATGCACGTGCACTTGTGCTCTTGTCAACATTTTGAGCAAGCAGTGTTCTGCGTGCTAGAGGAAACAAATATAAGTTACTAAATTGCGTTTTGGAGTTTATTTTGTGCTGGCGCTGGAGCAAAGCGGTCAGGAGCGCATGCTTTCAAAAAAAAAAAACACTCGCTCGACAATACTCCGTGCCCAAGTGACATTTGACTGTGGCCCCACGGACGATTTTTGTTCGTGGGGTATTGACGTTGGCAACTTCTTTTGCCACTGATGGCACAACTATACTATTTATAGTGTTTTTCCGACTCCCGGTGCGTTGTCATTTTGATTTTGCACGTGTTATGTGAAGCTCAAGTTTGTTTGTACTTTATCGTTGAATAAACGAGTATTTTGTTGACAAAGTGCGATGCTCTTTGTTACTTAAAGACCCAACATCCTTTTGCTTGGACATTCAGCGACAAAGCAGTTTCGGCCGTGGGTTTGGGAATTGGGAAAATCGTTGAAAACGATACTATGAAAACCTCGTATAATTTTTACAATGATGAAAAGGAATTTGTTTTTACAGTGTGATGCGATGGATGCGCGGCAGTTCTTCTCCAGTTACTCTTTGCCGACGCAGTGAGGGTGGCCGTCCTTCATGACGCACTTGGAGACGCAGCGCACGTTCTGGGGGCACAAAAGACACGGGTTCGAATACCGACAGCAGACTGGTTACGCGTCATTTGTCGCTGTTCTCTCGCACTCGTGGGTGCGACGGAGCACTCACAGCACAGGTGTAGCTGCGCGCGGTCCTGGTGCTGCCAGTGGCCGCGTCGACGGGGACCCCCTCGGAGGCGGCGGCGGCCTCGGGGGCGGCCACCTCGGGGGCGGCGCAGGGCTCGCCGCCGCGGTTGCAAGTGACGTGGGGCGGCACGTCGCAGCGGCACGTCTCGCAGGCGCCGCCGCTCTTCGGGGCGCTGAGCCCGTCGCCCCGCCGCAGCGTCAGGGAGCCCCACTTGCACGACGCGGCGTCGGCCTCGGCCGGGGCTGGAGAAGAGGCAAGGAGTGAGTCACGTGGTCACCGTGGGCAACGCCAAGTGCGCGGGAAAGAGAGTCGACGGCAAATGCGGTGAGGTTAGGTGAGGTTAGCCGGTCCGCGCTGACCCGAGAGACCTACCGGGGTTCTTGGTCGTGACCGCGGCCACTACGACGTCGTCCTCGGCGGCTGCAACGGGAGAAACAAAGTGAGTGGGCAGTTGTCCCGCTTTCGGCTCTCTCGCGCGACTGTACTGTACTCACGGCACCGCCACTCGATGGGGCAGCAGGTGGACTTCCAGAAGACGGGCGCGCAGCCCCTCGCCAGGTCCCTGGTGTGGTGCAGCTCCAGCCCGCACGTCGCCTCCTTGCACCAGGGACCGTTAAGCGTGCCTGGGGCAGAGGCAGGTTAGGTTAGGTTAGGTGGGGGTCCCGTGAAGCCAACCCAAGGCTGCGAGTTGGAACCCCTGACTCGAACCTTGCCCCCCACTGCATACGGCCAAAGCAAGCTCACCGTCAAAGCCTCGCTTGCAGATGCAGGTCTTGCAGGGCTCCTCGTCGGGGTAGAACTTCTGGCCCTCCAGGTACGTCTCGCCCTTCCACTCGCACTTGGCCGTCTCGGCGGTCGTGTTTTGCTGGCCTGGAGAAGCAGCGCGCCAAAATGAAAAAACGCCCATTCAGAAAACACAAAGTGGATGGGTATTTGAACCCCGGCCCCCCAGCAGATCTTACATAGGACGCCGTCAGAGCAGCATTTGTCCATGGAGTAGGTGGCGACGCAGCCCTCCGGGATGAGCGAGGGGTTGAACAGCGACGGGCACTCGATTTGGGCGCAAGTCAGGGACGCCCTGGGGAAGGACATGCAGGCAGTGAGCGTGGATGCAGCGCTCCGGCATCCTGGAAGGTGGGCAACAGGCCGCACTTTTGCCCTTGTGGTCGATGAAATGTGCCCCTTTGCCGCCCCCCTCAGCCGACTCTGGATCCACGGGCGTGCACAAGGGGGGGCGGAGGGGGCGATCGCCCCCCCCGAAGGACCCCAAAAGGTATACTTTTGAGGCAGGTTTTGGCGTCTAACTCCTGGAAGTTAGGCAAAGTTCCTCAAAAAAAGGTTCCACCGCCCCTCCCGAGGAGGCGAGCTGTGCACGCCCCTGTCTGGATCCGCCACTGCTCGCAGTACAGTTTACAGTGCACAAGCGCCTGCGAACGCCGGGCTGGGCCGCCCTGTCGAACTAGGCTGTCGGGCGGATTGCCTACCCCCAGCTATGCAGGCGCTCGCTCCGGCCTTGCAACAACAAAAATATCTCGTTTTTTTTTTTTCGAGAAAACTGGTTCCACTAATTACGGTAACAAACAACGAGATAAGAGACGACTGCCTGAATGTCTTCTCGAAGATCGATAGTGTCGACCGTCGCATCGGTTTGGCGTGGCAAGGTCGGGCTCGAGGTCGAGAGTGCAAAAAGAGATGACCTTTCTTGTCTCCAGACGGGCGGGCGGACAGTCAGACAGACAGTCAGACGAACTCACACTGCGTTGGCCTCCTTGGTCTGTCTGCAGAAGCAGCCGGCCAGACAGACGGATGGGTCCAGCAGCTCGAAGTCCGGCCTCACGTCCAAGGCGGCACCCTTGAAGTAGCAGCGAGACTTGTCCCGCGTCGCCATGTGTCCTGCCAAACACGTTGCGAAACACGCTGCAAAACTGCAGACCGTCGCTCTGTCTCTCTCGCACTCATGGGGCGTCCTCTATAGGGGTGAGAGGGACAGAGCGACGAAAACGGCTCTCGGAATCGGTTTGCTGCAAAACACTTCGGGTATCGTGTCCCCGTTTCGCGATAGCATCCACGGGTCCAATTGTACACTCCCACGCAGCCAGAACGTGGGCAAAAAAATTTCGGTTGTTATTGTTTTTATTTAAATGATTAGGTCTGAAGCGTACTTCTGAGCTCCAGAGTCGCTAAATGGGACTCGAACCGAACGTGTGACCACACCAATGGATTGCTCTCCGCACGAGGAATCCATGGGTGGGGTCATACGTTCGGTTCGGGTCCCATTTAGCGACTCTGGAGCTCAAAACGCGTCCAGAGTTTCGGCCGCCGGCATGATGCCGGTCTTCTGGCCCACCGCGTCGTCCCTGTCTTACCACAGTCGTAGCTGCTGGGGCAGCACTCGCCCTCCTTGGTGATGGGGGTGCAGCCCAGCTCCTCGTAGTAGTGGTGCAGGTGTCGCAGCCCGCTGCAGGCACCCTCGCCGCATTTCGCTGCAACGAAGCGTCTCAGTGAGAGAGATTTGGGGGGGGGGCCTGTGTGTGTCTGTTTTGTTTTGTTTTCGTGCCTATGCCGCACAGAGTGTGGTGCATCGTGGCCATCGCCTTGGCAAGCCGAGGCGACTTGGCTGGAAGTTGGAGCCGAGCCAGACTCCAGCCGCTCCAGGCCCAAGTCCAGGCCGGCGACCTGGAGCGTCTGGAGGCCCCACTGGAAGGCTGGCCGGCGCTGGAGCGCGCTGGAGTCGAGTCGCACCGTGTCAAGGCCTTGTCGCGCTTCTTGATTTTACACCGAGGTGTTGTTCCTGTTTTCGTGGCGGGCGCACAGTGGGCCAGAAGACCGGTGGAGGCGGCCAAGACGCGTTTTGAGCTCCAGCGTCGCTGAATGGGACTCGAATCGAACGTGTGACACCACCAATGGATTGCTTTCCGAACGAGGAATCCATTGGTGGGGTCACACGTTCGGTTCGAGTCCTGCTTAGCGACTCTGGAGCTCAAAACGCGTCTTTGGCCGCCTCCACCGGTCTTCTGGCCCACTGCGGGGCGTGCCGGCCTCGCCGTCGTTACACAACACGCTGTCTCTCTCGTACTGGAAGGGACGCCAGAAAGACGGGTGCGTTCCTTCTCTTTGTGCCTCGTATTTGTTCGTTGGGACAAAAGGCTGAGTCCAGTGCAGGCGACAGAGAGAGACAGACTGGGTGGGGAATCCCGACGGGAGTCTCTCTCTGGGTTGAGTGACGTCACATCTGCCAAGACCAGTTCGGACCTGGAAGCTTGCGCACTGGACTAATACAGCCGCACGGCAATCATGCATGATTCCCAAAGTGCATTTTATGAAACTTCTTCTGATCTGCCTCTTCAAGGAGTCGCCGCACCCCAGGGGATGCCCCGTGAGAGCGACAGAGATAGAGCGCTGCTTACCGGTGCTGGCGGCGCGCGCGCCGGTCGGGGCGCCGGTCAGGGCCAGGAGTGCCAGGGGCAGCAGGACCACCAACTTGCCGGCCATCCTGTCGCGTTGGCGTCGCGTCGCCGACTGCCGTGTCCTGCCCTGGCCTGCCGCGGGTGCTGCCGGTCCTACCCGGTGCCGTGTGTGTGTTGGTGTGTGTGTGTGTGTGTGTGTGTGCGTCCGGCCGGCCGCTGCTTCCGCGGCCTCGCTTGCGGCTTGCGGACCCCCAGCGAGCCAAGCTTGGCTGCTAGCAGTGCAGGCGCCGCTGCTCTGTCTCTCTCGCACGCGTGTGAGAGAGACAGCGCCGTAATGAGTCTGCTGTCGCGGTGCCATCACCCACGCGAATGAAATCGCATCGCATGGATGCTCGCAGTGTCGAATGCTTTCTCGTGTCTGGAAGGACAAAACTGCCCACCTTCCATATTCTGTGAGGGGGGACTGAGATGGGGGTTTTACGCATTGAAGGGTCCAAAGTAAAATGCGAACATGATATAGCGTTTTTAATGGTCAGCAAGAAATCAACATATCAAAAAAGTGAAAAAAAAAAGTAAAATGAGTCGAAGCTCAAATGAAGGTGATGTGGGTTGCCGTGGCAGCAAGCGAAACGCGGAGGGAAGGCCGAGCGCTCTGCAATACAGAAACAGAAACGTTCGTCAGTTTTGGAAATGGAAAAAGAAACCATCGCGAAACGAAAACTGGAACGTATGTATCCGTAAGGGAAACGAAACAAAATTCATCGTGGGGTACATCCACCGCACGATGGCTGTACCCCTAGGACTTAGGTTCATTATCGGCACCAAAAAAACGATTTTGTGGCTCTCACCGAGTCTAGAGACACTTGTACACTCCGGCCTCCTTGACGCAGGCAGTCACACACAGCTTGTCCTGTGAACGAGAAAAGGGCGTTAGAAGCGGTGCTCCTGAGAGTCTATAGACACTAAGACCGGCGCTGGCGACCGATATTCTAGACGTGTTTTGAGCTCCAGAGACACAGGACTCGAACCCCACCAACGGATTCCTCTTTCGGAGAGCAATCCATTGGTGGGGTCACACGTTCGGTTCGAGTCCCATTTAGCGACTCTGGAGCTCAAAATGAGTCCGGGGTTTTGGCCGTCCAAATCCACTGTGCAGGCATACTCACGCCACACTTCTTGGGGGCGTTGTCGGGGCTGCGGGCGGCGCGGCTCAGGGTGGACTCGCCGGGCAGGGGCAGGGTCAGGGGAGCGATTTTCATCATGTTGTCATACGGCGATGACTGTAAGGCAAAGGCACGCAGTAGTGGCCGCGCGTTCCAAAAGGCACTCAGTGGCGGCACTGCGTTCTCAAAGGCACGCAGTTTGCCGCCCGCGATCCAAAGAGGCGCTCAGTTTGTCCCACGCGATCCAAAAGACACGCAGTTTGCCGGCCGCCAGCCATAAACTGCGTGTCTTTTGTGTCGCACGAGGCGAACCCTTACAGGTCCAGTATCCTCGCCTGCACAAACAACAACATTGCGTTGGGGAACTTCTTGAACCAAGTACTTACACCGTGATCTTCCTGACCATTGGCAGGGACCAGGGCGCACAGCATGGCCAGGGCGAAGAAGGCAACCAGCATGCGAGCCATGTTGATGTTGAGGGTGTAGAGGGCGTCGAGCAAGGCGTCGAGGGCGTGTGGAGGGTTTGGCGTCCTGAAGCAGACTGTAGCCCCCAGTCCAGCCGGCGCAGCCAGCTCGTCTCGGTGCGCGGCGTCCGCAGCCCCGAGCCGCCCTTCGCGAGATAAGCCGCTAGGAAGTCGAGACAAAAAGGCGCTCCGGGGGTCGCGACCCGGCCGGGATTCGAACCCCCGCCCCGGCGCTGCTGTTGTTGACCACCGCGGGGCCGAAGTTCGCGCGGCCTCGCATTCGCGGCTCGGGAACGGACGACATCCGATACGGAGGGCGAGCGCCACCCGCACCACCCGCGCCGCCCGACGCAACGCAAAATGGGCGTATCTCTCACGCGGTCTGCGGCCACATACGCGGTTTCGAGCGCCTCTGGTGACCCGACCGGCCCGACCCAGTGCGTCTCCCCGATCTAGTTCTGGATCGCGGTCAAGGAGCAACTTGTTGTTGTATCGAAGTTAAGTTGGGGGAGACTGGCAGCCGCCACTTCCGAAAAAAGAGCCGTGTCGCCGCTCTGTCTTTGTCGCACTCATGGGGCTCTCCGTAACGGTGCGAGAGAGACAGAGCGATGGATTGCCCGTCTGGGGACGCGACGGGCGCGTGCACACACAAAGTACTCTCCGAAGAGAGCGCTATCCGCGAAGGCAAGGACTTGTCCTCAGCGAGATTGATGGCTCGTCTGTTTATCTACCGGAAGAACGACGAACCAAGTGCCAAACAAAGCAAAACAAACGTTTAAAAACAACAAAAACCGCTGAGATAGTATGAGGAGGGGCCGGCCAAGAGTGGACCGCGCGTGCAGCTTCCCGTTCGCACTTTCCTAACAGCGGGCTGCCTCCGAACGTCTCTGTCGCACTCACGCGGCGCCCCGTAGAGGTGCGAGAGAGAGAGAGCGACAGCCTGCAGGTGAGCAGCCCGCCGGGCAGCCGCGTCGTAGGGGTTGCCTACCCCTCGATCCGCAGGCGCTAGCTCCGAGTCCTGCCCCCACTCCCTGCCGCCCCAGCCGCTTTCGTCGCTCTGTCTCTCTCGCACCTAGACGGGGCGCCCCACGAGTGCGAGAGAGACAGAGCGAAGAGTCTGCTGGCGCGACAGCAGGGCCACGTCGACGGGGTCCGCGACTCGCCTCTCGCCTGTATTCCTGGCCGTTAGACAGAGACGGACTCTGCGCCAAGTGCCAAGTAGCCTAATTCTCGTCGTCCGCGGCGTCTGCGGCCAGCCGGTGGGGCGCGGACTAGGGCGGACCTATCGCAGAGCGGCACACCAGCGCGCGCTCACAGACACTTGAGTGTGAACAGCAATGAGTGCACCCAGTCACAAGTCGACTCCGTGGCGCAACGGTAGCGCGTCTGACTCCAGATCAGAAGGTTGCGTGTTCAAATCACGTCGGGGTCAGTGACGTCAACTTTTTTGTTCGGAATTTTCTAGTTCGTTTCTTTTTTAAAGCACAATTTTGAATGGCCGTGAAAGAAAATGAAACGCAACACTCAAAGTGCACAGGAACCACCAGTGAGCCACTTCAAAGTGGGCATTCACCATTGTTTCCCGAGCAACAATGGTGGGCGGGACTGATGGACTGATGTAGCGGTCTAGAAATATTTTCAGAAAAAGTAAAAAACAAAACAAAAAAATTCAAAAGTGAATTTAAAATCAGAGCAAAATTTTGTGTCCCGAAATATTCTTGTCTTAAAAATATGGCGGAGGAAGAGGAACTTGTGAACAAATTGAGCGGCCTGGTTCGGGAGCTGGACTACTGGTGAGCGCCAAATTCAATTGGCGCCAAAAATGGCTTTTCCCGTCCCGCTGGGGATGATGTTTACGATACGTGGCCCATTTGACCGGCGCGATGGCTTTTCCGCGACCCCAGTTGAGCTCTGATTGGCTCTGATGCCGCGACGAGGCTGCGTACGATGGGTTGCCCACCTCTCCGGCGCAGGCGCCAAGTTTTCCGGTTCTTCGTGAACGGGCTTTGGCTTTTTTCGTTGCAGCTGCCACTGCGACCAGAAGCAAGCGTGCCCGGACCATGCGGGGAAGACCAGGAGGCAGTGGCGCGACATACCCCCGCCCCGACAGAGGAAGGTACGGCCGACGGTGGAGGTTTTTTTAGTGCCACAACGCATCTTTTGAACCCGACCCAACCCAACCCACCCAGGTGCCGTTCGAGGTGGACTGGCAGACGTACCCGCTGGTGACGGGGCTGCCCGTCTTGGAGACGCGCTACAAGGCCAACATGCGCGAGGTGGCGTCCGAGCCGCCGAGGGTGTCGGTGCAGTACGAGCCGCGGACGTGGCTGCCCAAGCCGGTGGTCAGTGGACAAAATTTTAAAAAATTAATTAATATTCCATATTAAAATTAATGTTTGCATGTTTTTGCTTCAGGATCTCGGTGGAGATGGGACTCCGTGGGATTTAAGGCGTTACCGCAGCAGGGAGTTGATCGCAAGCCAGCTCCACTTCGGATGTGTGTGTCCAAAGCGAAACGGTCTACAGGTATGAGCTCAGTCCCTACAAGTTCCAGTAACTTTTCCCACAATAATACTTAACTTTTTTTTAAATATTTGTTGGTCTGATCTTAATGATTTTAGGATGAGTGCCGCAGACTGGATTGCAAGGGCAAAGATTGCTGCACATCTCAGCCTGTGGCCAAATGCAGGCCAAGCGGAGGACCTGGGGTGTGTGAGCTTCCCATCAGAAGGACCCACAAAAGCAACTGCTGGTTAGATTTTGATTTTCAGTTTCTGAGAAGTTTAAAATACTGATCCGACGGTAAACATTAATCAAAATTTTGGATGCACAGGTGTGACATGTGCCGGCCCCCCTGCTGCGCTACAGGTCGCATGACCCCACGGACGCCAAAGCCAGAGGGGGTGTGTCCGGAGTGTCTCTGTCTTCAGTCAGTCCAGTGCGGATCTACCTGTGCACACTACTGCGACAAGCACATGCTGGGAGCGACTGCCAAGCCCTGTCCTCCAATTCTGTACTAAGATGTTCTGGTTGCAAAATTAAATAAGGAAAAGCAAGATTATTGTCCTTTATTGTTTCCCAATACTCTTTTGCCACACAAAAGCACATATGAATATGACTATGTCATAGGTACAACGCCTCAAATTTAAGGCATAAAAGTAAAATTGATGCAAGTCAAATTGAAAATAAAACTAAAACTATGAGAAAAGGGGGAAAAAAGCTACCTGAAGAGCTACTTGTGACTTCCTTCTGTTTCAGTAAACACTATCCGTGTTTCTGTTTCCAACCTACTGGAACTTCAAAGTTTCTACCACAATAACAACAAACAAATGGAATGCCACAACGAATAGAACAGCCAATCACAGACATAGTGCCTAAGCAATAGGAAACTAGGCACAGCACTATAAAACAGAAATATTCACAATGTGAGTGATTGTGAATGACAAACTCAAATTAGTAGCTGAGGATAAAAGGCACATGTGACATAAACAATATGTAATGTAACCAATAAGAACATAACAGGGGTTTGGATTAATTGATTCTCATCCAATCGTGTTTCCAATCAAAATCATTCCATCCTTAAGATGTGTTCTATTCTTGAACAGAATAGTTGTTCTCGAATATTTGGGATCACAGGAACAAAGACTCAGACTCAATGACCAAAGGGAACACTCCAGAGAGAGATTTATTATTCATAGGTTAGTTGCATAGTATGGACACCAGGGTTACAAGGCAGTGACACGAATAGTTCTCATACCCGACTTCTGGGCGGTACTGCCAACGTAATCTCATACCACTACAACACCTCCCCCTTCGAGACACTAAAGTATTCAGTTGGCAACACTTTCTACGTTGAAAGTAAACAAACACATAGCAGAATACAAAAGTTGATTATATTTGATATAAAAATACAGAGTAATATATTTGATTACATGAATAATATTTATTAACAGCTCCCATCATAACGATGTGGTTTTAGGATCTTCCGACCAAATCTTGTTGTTTGTCGTGACTCAAATGTCATCAATCCTTGAGCTGCTGGAACAGAAACAGCACGAACAGTAGGGTTAGGGTTAATGGTCACTTTCTTTTCACCAGCTCTAATATTGGCGAGAATTGCATCAGCATCAATTTCTTTATTTTCTCTAGCATCAACTCTGTCCGGTTTGGTACTAGAATGTTTCAAATGCCATGTATTTCTGCGTAACTGACCTCCCCCTAATAGTTCAACTACGTAACTTCTGTTACCAGAAAGTTTACGAACTATATTCCCTTTCTGCCATTTCTTTCCTCGTCTGACAACCACACTGTCACCTTGTGAAAAGTTTACAGGTTTACGGTTAGCATGCAAGTCATGTTGAGATTTTACTTTATCTTGCAATCTTTCCAGCACTTGCTTAACCTTTACAACTTTTGGTTCGAGATTTTTGTTTAGTATTGGGAGTAAAGTACGACACTTTCTACTCATAAGTATTTCAGCTGGAGACACATTCATACCCGTTAAAGGTGTGTTATTATACTCCTTGAGAGCATCCAGAATATGCGTACCAGAATCACTGCATTTTTTAAGCATTTGTTTAGCAATATGAACTCCTTTTTCAGCCAGTCCATTGCTTCTAGCATATTCAGGTGAACTGGTTTTAATCACACTCCCCATGCTTTTTGCAAACTCATGACACTCATGTGAATTGAGTGGATTATTATCACCAAATATTATTTGTGGATTACCATGAGTAGAGAAAATAGATCTCAGTGCATCTATTACAGCTTTACTACTTTTACTTGACAGTGGTTTTATTTCTAACCATTTTGACAAGTAGTCCTCAACAACCAAAAAATCTTTGGAATTAAAATGTAATATATCAATTCCTATTTTCTGGAACCTCAATTGCGGAATGTCATGTGGAATTAGTGGCTCATGTTTATTTTTGGCACTATGTCTTTCACATGTCCGACATTCTTTTATAAATGTGGTTATGTCATTTGACATACCTGGCCAATACACAGATTGCCTGGCTCTACTTTTGGTTTTCTCAACACCCAAGTGAGCGGTATGTAAATTTTTCAAAACTTTTTTCCTGAGCGATACCGGAATGATTATTCTATCTTCCAGAATTACCAATTTATCTTCTACAAAGATATCCATTCTCAGTTTCCAATATGGTTTTACCTCATTAACAATAACTTTGTTATTTTTAGGCCAACCTTCCTGGTAATATCGCATCACAGCTGACAAACCTGGGTCGTTTGCTGTTTCTCTCACCAGATCAGCCTTGACATTGAGTGACATGTCAATATATTTTGTCACCTCATGTACAACCTCAACCATTTCTGGATCATCCTCTACAGGATCTTCCAGGCAATTTCTAGACAGTAAATCAGCTATATGCATATATTTACCCGGTAAATACTCAACTTTAGGTTGGAATCTGAGTAATTTGAGTCTCATTTTTTTCAACCTGTTGTTGGTTATTTTGTAAATAGGTTTTTTGAAAATATGAATCAAAGGTTGGTGATCAGTTTGGAACAATACATCAGGCATACCCCAAATGTATTTTTCAAACTTATGGGCAGCATAGCACAAAGCCAGCATTTCTTTCTCAATCTGAGCATAATTCTTTTCTGTTTCAGTGAGAATTCTGGAATCTAAAACTACAGGTTTTTTATCTTGCAAGAGACAGCAGCCCAGTCCATACTGGCTGGCATCCGCTTGAATTATAATTGGCTTTTTGCTATCAAATGTAGCCAAGACAGGGGCCTTTGAAATACTTTCTTTTAGAGTTTGAAGAGCTTTTGCATGTGTAGGCATCCATTTATAAAGAACAGCATTAGACAGCAATTCATAGAGTGGAGCAGCAATTGTAGCCATCTGAGGAATAAATTTTCTCAGATAGTTAAAAATACCCAAACATTTTTGGAGTTGTGTTTTTGTTTTTGGTTCTTTAATTGCTTCTATTGCTCGAACTCTTTCTGGATCCACTTTGGTTTTATTTTTTGACCACAAGTGTCCCAGGAATTTTACTTCTTTTTGTCTGTACTGAATTTTACCAGGATTAAACCTAACATTCTGCTCTTTGGCCTTCTCCATTACTTTTTGAAGTTTTAGATCATGATCCTCATAGTCTTTACCTGCTATAAGACAATCATCAAAATATACTATTGCGCCTGTACCCTGAAATGCTGTTTCAGTCATAAACTGGAATATTTCAGGTGCACACTTCAACCCAAATGGCATTTTTAAGAATCTGTAAATTCCATGAGGGGTAGCAAATGCACACAGAAGACTTGACTCATCATCCAATGTAGCATGCCAAAACCCTTCTTTCAGGTCTAACACTGTGAAAACCTCCATGTCTTTAACCTGACATGACAAGTTATCAACATCTGGAATTACATATTTTTGTCTGACTATTGCCTGATTCAGCAACTCCGGGTCAAGACAAATTCTTAAATCACCATCACTTTTTTCTCTAATTACCAAATTACTAACAAATTTTGGAATTTCATCAGTAACTTTGGCCACAATACCTCTTTGTACTAAACTTTCCAGTTTAGTTTTAAGTCTATCATTCACTGAAAAATGATACCTTCTAGGAGGGCACATTCCAGGTGTAACATTGGGATCAACAGTAATTTTTACTTTATTTTTGAACTCACCCAGACCTGTGAATAGTTCCTTATATTTTTCTAGGAACACAATTTTAGACTCTGGCAGTAACTGAGACATCACTTTGACAGTTTTCACATCTTTAGACTGATGTTCAACTCTTTTTACCAGATTTAAAATTTCACATGCTTCTATACCAAGAATTGGTCTAGGATCAATTGTAGAGAGTAGGAACTCACAAATCATTTTGCCACCATATTTTGTTTCAACACTCAACCTTACTGTACCTTTAGGTGAGCTTAAAACATTCCCATAAGCCTTCAGCACGGTGTTAGTGGGATTGACAGTATACCCTTTGTCAATTATTTGGAAAACATGAAATGGCAGAATATTTACTTCAGACCCAGGATCCAACTTAAATTTTACAAAGTGAACCCCCTGAAGTTTTAATACCTCAGTGTATTCTTTTCTAGGTCTTTTACTCTCCCCACTGACAATAATTTCATTTTTTCTTTTAACAGCAGTTAACATATGTACATACCTGGTACTCGCACCATCATCTGTCCACGAGCTAAGCAAGCAATCTTGAAGTTGATTAGTCACAGTAGCAAGACTGTCAACCTTACTTTGCTTTTTAAAATTGCCAGCATTTTGTTGTCCTTTGTTACGGCACACAACTTCCCAGTGATTTTTTCCATTACAAGCAGAGCAAATTTGGCCATAAGCCGGACAGTTGCCCGCCTCATGCACTCTATTACATTTTCTGCACTTGTATTTAAACAACTGTTTGTTGTCTCCCTGTTGTGAACCATTCCTCTTTGATTTATAGCCTGGACCGGGTCGGTTGTGGTACTGTGAATTTTTCATCTTTCCTCCACCTTTGTTCTTTTGGTAGGGTTGAGAGGGAATGCCATTCTTGCTACGGTTTTTGTTGAATGACTGGATAGCCTCGACATTTTGGGCATTATCGTTATCACCATTCAACTTCGGATATCGTGCCGTAGCTTCAACTGCCTTGCACAGATCAATAATATCAGATAAACTCTGATTTGACTTGGATCTCAGAGTGTCTCTTAACCTCTTGTCCCAGACACCCCATATAATTCTGTCCTTCAGCATACTATCAACAATAGTTGCGTACTCACAGTCTTTCACCAAGTTTCGCAAATCTGTTAGCCAGTTGGAAAACGTTTCCTCCTTTTTTTGATTTCGCGCATTAAACAGTTCTCGACAACCCGTAATGCATTTTTTCTCCGCCGCATAGAGGTCAAACTGCTCAACAACCTTGTCATAGTTGTTTGTATAGTCATGTTCAATGACCTCCTCTCCTTGATCGTTGGTTGTTTTGGATATCAGCTTATCTTTAAAGGCATTATAAACCTCCAAAGCTTCATCCCCGGCCTCTCCCATCAGGAGTGCGCATCGAACATCCGACGCCGCTTTAGCCTTTCCAATTGCGGTTAAGAAGAATCCAAACTTCTGCTTGAAAGTTTCCCATGACTTCTGAATATTACCTGACTTTAAATTGACAGGCCCAGGGCTTTTTAGATGATTATCACCCATTTTCAGCAGAATTCACCACCACCAAGCCACAAAGCAAGTAGCGAGACCAGACCACCGGTTTAACCAGACTGATTTTTTCACTTTTCTCAATCTCCCGATCAAGAATTTATTACTCACAATGACAGAGCACTTGTTAAGATTCGATTACGACTGCGCCATGTTCTATTCTTGAACAGAATAGTTGTTCTCGAATATTTGGGATCACAGGAACAAAGACTCAGACTCAATGACCAAAGGGAACACTCCAGAGAGAGATTTATTATTCATAGGTTAGTTGCATAGTATGGACACCAGGGTTACAAGGCAGTGACACGAATAGTTCTCATACCCGACTTCTGGGCGGTACTGCCAACGTAATCTCATACCACTACAACAAGATGTATAATAGAATTCAATCTTTTCAACACAACCCTGCTTTAACCTTAAGCCTAGGAGTCTTTATCACATACATTTGCAACATATCTAGAAAACATAGCATTCTTCTTGACTAATTCTGAAAATATACTTCATTCATTACAAAGGCAGGTAACTACTTGTTATTACAAAATACTATGGCAGAAGGTTCTTCAAGTGAGGAGACACAAAAAGTGGGTAATATTTCTCAAAATATTAAGAACAAATTCACACATGGTACACTTGGATGCAGTACTGATATGATAAAAACTACGTATATCCTGCTGTTGCCATTGCATACATTCACATTCAAGTCTAAGTAGAAACTCTTTTTCCTCAAACCTAGACATAAAAATTAATACAGCTCGCCGATCCTACTTAACTACACTTTAAGGGCATCCACTTAGACAAGCACAATGAGGAACTGAAATGAGGAGAACATTTGTTAAATCCACTCCTCTGTTGCCTATTACATTTTAAAAATACTGTATACCTAACAACAAATAATCAATTAAAAAAATAAATTTTTAAAAGCAGATCAACATTTACAACAAGTAACTAGTCACTAGTCAAAAGACCAATTATAATCATATGAGGCATGGCAAGGTGGACTTGAGGCCAGATTTAGAAAATTCACAGAGTGATTTTATCATAAATGAATAAAATGGTGCCATACCTCACTTCAGTCTTGGCTTAATAGTAATAATCAAACCCGAATCTTGATTATTTAACTGAGTATTTTCAGATTACTTAAAATAATGACTTCCAACACACAGCTCATGGACACACAGCTCAAGGATAGATAAACCAGGCTTGAAAATTTTAGATAGGTTTGAGATTCATATAGAAGTAAGGACCAATGACGAGCTTAGGCAAGCAAAGCAATAATTGTGAATACACTCTATAAGCTCACACTGGGAGGAAAACAGAGTTCGGGAATAATATAACAAAACAAACTGCAGATAGCTACAATGAACACAAACAATATATAGACAGAAATGATCAAAGAGATCCATTGAAAAAATTCTTCTTTCATGAATTGAAAAGATTACAGATCTATAAGATTTGGGCTATCATCTTCAAGACACCCATTGCTTGCTGGAGAGGGTTTTGTGGGAGGTAGTGCTTGGGCTAGAGGTGAAATAGGTCGATGAAATTGAGATCTTGACGGTCTTAACGGGGGTGAAAGTGATCTGTTTGCCTGGGAAGAGCTTGCACTTCTTGATAAAGCATTTGTACGAGGAGGGGGAACAATTGAGCGCAGCACTGCACTAGTGCTGCTGGCACTTCTTGCTAATGGGGTGGGCGTTGGAGCAGAGTTAATAGCAACTGCTGCGGTAGATGCAACAAGCACATGGCTCACAAAACTTGTCTCTCGTTGTCCAATATGCCCATTTTCAGTATTTTCTTGAAAATTGCGCACTGTGCCCATGTTGCGAGGATACAACAGCAAAGGATCCTGAAAGTGGAAAATAAATGGTCAAGGACAAATCTCAAATAATATTTCCCGTATCAAAGTTGATGCAGTCAATATTTCACATACCTTTCCAGTCATGAAGCAAATTTTGGATTGAAGAAGAATCATCTGTTGTCGCCAATACTCATACCTGCAAGCGGAAAAGAAAATATTATTCTCCAAAATTATGATTTCATTTCCACACAGTCTGGGTATACCATAAAAACCAACATACAGACAGGATTTGCAAGTCACTTACGATGACTGCTTCAATGCGTTGATCCATTGCTGAACATGATCCTCTGATCGACCGGCAAATATTATTTTCTTGTCTGGCTCATCTCCAAAAGAAAGAGAGAAAGCAAATGGAACACCAGAATTTCCTTCAGGCTGAACACTACAGTTTTCCAGAACTATTAACCCACTGGGCTGCCAAATCAAACAAGAAGAAATAAAAGTTACTCGCAGGACTTGTGGAGACACTACACCAATGTTGAAAAGCTGTTACACTGTACCTGCTTGGTTTCTACCCTTCCCATCTCGTTGATGCGGAAGTAGAAAAGAAGGTTGCCTTTCAGTTTGAACCAGCGCTCTTTGAAAGCTGCAAAAACAAAAGCAACAGTGATGTCACTCCGTGGCTAAAGTGGGACAGTTAACGACAAATAGTGGACCAAGCGTTACCTGGCTGGCTGTAGCTGCCAGGACACAGCTTCCGGAAATTAAGGCGTCCCTCTAAATCTATGGGTCCATTTAGCACCTCAGCTGCTTCTCTCTCATTGAACCTCATATTGAATAGTTTAGAGACTTGAGAGGCATAAAGGTTAGAATCTTACATAATTCTTCAGAACAGACCTCAGACAGTCACAACCAAGCATGAAGACCCCTTGAAATTACCAGGTCAGCGGATTAACCCAAACGAATCACCAATAACTGCCAATAGCGTGACACTTCGACAAATCTTGTGTCAAGGCTTCTTCGAGTCATCACAAAAACATCACTTGTTGTTGTTGCTACTTGTTGTTTTTTTCTCGATTATTTTTAGTGAGCGGTCACACCAACCTAACAGCAGAAGTCTATATCCAGCTCAAGCGAAGAAAACACGAATCAAAGAATAGTTTTAGAGAAAAAGTATGTAAATAAGGTTTATTGCCTCTTAAACTCGGGCAGAAGAAACGCGACGCCAGTGCTCTGTAGTCAGTGCAGTGTAGGCTAGTCTGTCACGTTGGTCCCCTGCTGGGAGCCGCGCGGCGGGATCGCGGTAAGATTTGGTTGCAGGCGGCGAAGTGTCCAAATTCCAAACCACGGCCCGGCGCTTCAGAGGTGGAGAAGTACCGACCACACGCCAGTTGCGTTCACAAACGCAATGCCTCGCGGTTGGGCCAAGTGCACAGAAAGTGCACAGAATGGACCCCTGGCTTTTACAGTGAGGCCACTCCTTGACGGTCCCGGCGGATGTTGGATCAATAAGAGGATCGCCCAGGCGACATAACCCCGTGCTTCCACACAAACAATGAGCCCAGCCCGGCGCGGCGCGGCGCGGCTGGCTGACGCGTCAGGTCGTGAGCAACGCGAGTCGAACATGGCATTCGCGTTCTCCTCGGCGAGGAGCCTCAGCGACGTGGACAGCTTCGGCGACCATGACCTCCTGGCGGACGGCGACGGCGACGGCCTCGAGGATGGCGACGTGGGGAGTGGCGACGGCGGCGACGGCGATGGCCTCCGACTGCGCAGAGACACCGCCGTCCGACTGGGCAATGGCCATTACATGGGTAGACACGACTACACTGTGATTCCCCGCGAGGTTGGTGGCTGCGTCGCTCTCTCTCTAAACCGCCTCTCCCTCCAGACACGTCCGCCCTCCTCAAGTGCCTCGGCGAACTGGACGACGAACTGCCCTCCAAGCCGCAGTGGCGGCCGCTGCAGGAAACGCCGCAGCTGGTGCGACCGCCACACTGCAGAGTAGGGCGTGTTCCACGAGTGTCGCGCTGTCTCTCTCGCACCCCGCGAGCCCTTCGTGGCGCCCCGGGGGTGCGACAGAGACAGAGATGGATGGTGTTCCGTGCAGCGCGAGGCGGTGGTGTGCGTGGTGTCCTTGAGGACGGCCTCCACGTTCTGCTACGCCGTCATCTCCCGCCTGGGCCGCGTGGGGGTGTACGACGCGGGGCTGGCGCTGCTGGACTCGTACACGCTGGAGCTGGGCTTCGCGCACCCGCACGCCAAGGTACGCAGTGGACTTGCCAGAAGGCCGGTGGAGGCGGACAAAACTCGAGACGCGTGCAGAGCTCCAGAGTCGCTAAACTGGACTCGAACCGAGCGTATGACCCCATCAATGGGTTCCTCGTTCGGAGAGCGATCCATTGGTGGGGGTCACACGTTCGGTTAGAGTCCTGGCTACGACTCTGGAGCTCTGGCCCACTGTGCAGCACCTTGCCACACTCCGGTTCACTCTGTCTCTCTCGCACCCCCACGAGTGCGACAGAGCGGCCTGCCTGACGGCCTCGTTCTAGCCAGATCGGCATCGGCCGGGAGGGCGACACGCGGGAGCCGCGGCAGCACACGACCTGGGTCAACGACGCCGTGTTCCTGCCCGACGTGCAGATGCTGGTGGTGGCCGCGTCGGACAGGTGAGCGTGGCGAGCGTGCCTCTGCCTCCGTCGCCCCCACAAGGCTGAAGGCGTGAGTGCGACAGGTCGCTGACGATGCTGGACGCGTCGCGGCTGCTGCACTGCCGTCGCTGCGAGGTGCGCAGCATGCCCGCGTCGCCGCGCTGCCTGGCCTACGCGCCCGGCTCGGCCTCGGCCCCCGAGTCGCGCCTCTTCATCGGCGACGACGTGGGCACCATCACGACGCTCACGTTCCGCAACCCGCGGCGCGCGCTGCTGCGGCCGCCCGACGCCGAGAACAAGAGCACGTCCTTCTTCTGGCCCGAGCTGCGCCTGCAGCAGGCCTGGGTGGCCGTGGCGCAGGACGTGCGCGTGCACGCGGACGCCGTGTGCAGGCTGCGCTTCGAGGCGCACAACGACACGCTGCTGTCCTGCAGCCGCGACCCGCGGCGCACCGTGCTCGTCAGGCACCTGGCGCGCCGCAGGGAGCCCTACGTCTTCAGCCTGCCGCGGGTAAGCGCCGCGAAGCGCGATGCTGTCTCTCTCGCACTCATGGAGTACGCCACCAGACTCTCTCTCCGTCTCCCTCTCCCAGGGCGCCGCCTGCTTCGTGCTGGACCGGCCCCTGCAGCTGCTGGTGACGGCCGGCCGCGACGCCGTGGTGCGCCTGTGGAACCCCCTGGTGCCCAGCCAGCCGCAGGCCGTGCTGCTCGGCCACAAGCACCCCGTCCTGGACGTGGCCGTGCTGTCGCGCAGCCAGCTCGTCGTCAGCATGGACCTGCGCGGCGTAAGTGCCTTCGGGGCGTACAGTGGGCTGGAGGCGGCCAAAATCCCGGACGCGTTTTGAGCTCCAGAGTCGCTAAATGGGACTCGAACCGAACGTGTGACCCCACCAATGGACTGCTCTCCGAACGAGCAATCCATTGGTGGGGTCATACGCTCGGTTCGAGCCCTGTTTAGCGACTCTGGAGCTCAAAACGCGTCTTGGCCGCCGAGACAGAGTGACAGCCTGGCTTTGCAGACGCTCAAGGTGTGGCACGCCACGGAGCACGTGCTGCTGCAGACGGTGGCGCTGCCCTTCTCGTGCCTGCAGGTGCCGGGGCGGCGCATCGAGCACGGCGCCAGGGCCTTGTACCCGGGGCCGCCCGTCAGGTCCAAGAGGTAAGCTCCAACTTGGCGCCGCGCGCCGCCTCCAAAAACACCTTCAAGCCCCCTTGGCGTTCCGCTCCTTGCAGCGATGACGGTGAGGTGCTGATAGCCGCCCTGTGCGGCGAGCTGGTCATCGTCAGGGTCGCCCCGCCTCCCCCGGGGGGCGTGGCCCCGGCCAGGAAGGCCTCCGCCAGCTCGGCCACCTCGTCGTCCACCGTGGCGCTGGCGCCGCCGCGCAGGGACCAGTCCCCCGCCGTCCCGGAATCGTGGTCGCCCTCGCTCTTGTCCGCCAGCAGCTCCACCGCGCCGTCGTGAGTCCGAGTCCGCGGGGTGCTCTGGTGCTGTTCTCGCTGGCCGTCTTCGCATACGCTTGCACTGTGTCGACAGGCCGCGCGGACAGCGACGAGGCTCGGTGGCACCCCATCACGACCTCCGCGAGGCGGAGGGGCTGCACTCCGACGAGGACGACGACGAGGAGGACGATGACAGCGACGCGGACGACGAGGACGTGCAGTGCGGCGTGCTCCCCAAGTCGTCGTCGCCGCTGCCGGACTCCATCGAAGACTGGCCGCTGCCCGACGACCGCCTGTTCAAGGACGAGGAGCCCCAGCTGCTGGCGGGCCGGCCCGCCGCGGCCGCCTTGGCCGCCACGCCCAGGACGCCGACGTCCGGCCCGCCGGGGTCGTCGGCGCCGCCGCAGCCGGTGTCGCACCGGCCGGTGCCCGACGAGGACGGCCTGTACCCGGAGGAGATCGCCTCCCTGCGCGCGCTGGGGCTGCGCCCGCTCGACCTGGAGGCCATCGGCATCAACCTGGGGTCCGCGTCCGCGCCCGGCGGCGGCGGCGGCGTGCTCGCGCTGCTGCCCACGGACGCCCTGGCCGCGGTGCGGCAGGCCCACGCCGCGCAGAAGAAGACCCACAAGCAGGTTAGCGCCGCGAGGGTAGGCAACCGGCCGGCTGCTCTAGACACAGCTGCGTGGCGGGCTTGCCTACGGGCGATTGCTAGGCGCTTGGCGCTTGGCGGCGCGGCGGCCATTCTCAGGCTGTGCTCTCCTGCCCGCAGATGCGGACGCTGGCGTGGCACTGCGCGCCGCACCTCGCCCTCAAGCTGCCCGAGGAGTCGCCCCTCACCTTCTCCAGGGCGCTGCCCGTGTCCTCCAGGATGCGGGCGAGGGGCCTGGACGTCTCGGACCCGGCCCGCCTGGTGCAGGCCAAGCTGGGCCGCCTGGGCGCCGCGGCGCGACGGAGAACGTCTCCGAGGACGTCGCCGCGGACGTCGCCGCACCCCACGGCGTCCACGTCGACGCACACGGCGGGGGCGGGCCGCGCGGGCAGCGCGTCTTCGGGGAGGTCCGGCAGGCGGAGCAGTGTCGGGGAGAAGGCGAGCGGGACAAGCGGCCCCCGCAGCCTTCTCAACACTTAGACCCGAGACGCTGGGAGGCAAATCTCACCTCACGCCTCTTCATTTTTATCAAAAGATATTTTTTTAAAAATGCCTTTGTACGACCTAACGGTTTTTCCTGTTTTCATTGCCTTTTTTGAAACTACTCTATGTCTTGATAGTTTGTTGTGTTTGACTGAATTGGTTAGCCCAAACAAAAATGTGTACTAATGTGACTAACACTTTTCTTTTAGCAGTGTGAGTAAGATCTTAGTGAGATGGTATGTGTGCAAGCTGGATATGAGTGGACACTTATACTTGTATCAGTTGCTGCAAGATCTGTATTCTCACAGAGACCAAATGGTAACAAAAAAAATTGAATACACAAAAGCTATAGTCACAAAGAGCTTACAAAATTCATTTCTTAGAGGAAAGTTTTATACAACAATTTTTTTCATGCCGGTTTATGTACAAAGTTACTTAATAAAATATAGAAAGATGCAAGTGATAACCAGCAATGTGTTTTTGACTGTTGCCGTGTCAATCAGAATGTAAGAGAAAATATTTTTTCTGTTACAGAGGCCTGCATTGCAAGCATACTTTTTTTATTTAATTTTTCAATTTTTTGTAAAAACTCTTGCATATTTTAAAATCACAGTCATAACATAACCAGTTTGGAATAAACTAGTTAAAAGGAGTTTTGTTTTAAAAGAAGAAAAGTTTACATTAGAGGATGAAATCTTGCAGTTTTCTGCCCACAGATGTTGATTGTTATGCCAAGTATATGATGGAGCCTCAGTACCGCTGCCTGCAACAGCACTGGTGTCACCATCTTCTTCAGTAACAAACTTTTCTCCTGTGAACAGTCCAGTCAGAGCCCAAGTGTTAGTCAAAGTTTGAGAAGTGCTTTCTTTTTAGTCCCGGTGAATCTAATTTTGAGAATAATGAATGCATTTTGAAAAGGGTTGATAAAGAAAGTGAGCAGTGTAAATATGAGGTGGTTTTAATGATAAAAATGACATGCTTACAGAGGTTAAGTTCTGCACATGTTCTATTGTACAACACAAAAATAGCAATCAACTTTTTTGTTCCTATTTGAAATCAAGGACAAAAAAAGAGGGTCCAAATCATATGAATGGTTGAGGTAATTAGCCATTTACAGCACCAGTGGCACAGTGCTGTACAATCTCTTTACACTTTCAGAAAATAGATGGCAAATCAGAACTTATGACAAAATGACAATGTACAATGATAATGTTCTCTCATGAATATTAAAATGAAAATTTGATAAAGAGATGGTATGAAAGAGAGAGAGAGAGAGATCTCTCGCAAAAAAAGTTCATGGAATGACAGCATTTGTGCCCATGCACAAATATAAAACTGGCTTATATACACTACAGTGAGAATCATAAAAAAATCTGTCCAAGAGGCAATTGCTAAAAAAACAAACAACTGGCCTTTTCACAGATCCCACATCATAGAAACTTCATTGAAAAATGGATGATGTTTACAGTCCTGTGACTAATCAACAGTTCATGACTTCAACAAAAGAAAAACAATGCTAAAACAAGTTAGAGACAATAACCATAAAGTTAATTCATTATAATGTTTGTCTCAATGGATCAAAGTCAGGTTTCTCATAAAATCTGACAAGATCTACAGGGTTGTTGCTTATCACTTGTAGCTTATTCTTTTTTGGTTCTTACACAATGATGAGGAGTTAAATCACCTTTTTGACTTCGTAATAGCCTTGGCTTGAAATCTCCGAAATAGTAACAGGGCTTTCATTACTGAGACCCATTGTGGTTGTCACCATTATCGATGAAACTGTTGCCATTAATGACAAACGTTGTACCAAGGCCATATAGGTGTCCGCAGTATTTGGCATCATCAATGTTGTCCTCGAAAAACATCTAGAAAATAAATAGCAAAGTAACAAAAATGCTAAGAGGGAGGCTCGAAGCTCCTTGCTAGAAGTGAGCTGAAGTAACAAACCTCTCTCATTTTGAAGAAGGCATTCCCCGTTAGCAACGAATCACTCCCCGCTTGGTGCTGAGGGCCCACCCTCATCAACTCCAGTTGGTCAGCCACTTCTTGCAGGCCACCCTTGAGGTTTTTACAGCTCTTCATCAGGTACTAAAATACCAAAAGAAACAAGTCATGCATGAGGCCATGAATTATCAGAGTTCACCTAAGAAAACAAGGACAATGGAAAAAGAGAGAGCAAACTACAAACCTTCACATCATAAATGATTGGGAAGTAAATCCTCAAAAGCTCAAAAAACTCACTTTCTGAATCAGGTAAATTCTGATCAGTGAGTAATTTTAAAAGGTAGCAGAAATCATAACCACTGAAAGATAAAATATAATTAGTAGTATAGTTCAGGATTTTTGTGGACAAGAACGAAAAGGGTTTAGACATCTACAAAAATTGAGGAAATAATAGCAGCACTGCAATTACCTGTGAAATGAAAGCCACTTGATATTGTCCATTAGAACAATACCGGATGTCATAAGAAGCTCTGCAAAATACAGTGGTTCTATACCATCTTCTTCATGTTTCTTGAATTGGATCCCTGAATTAGTGAGAAGTTCAATGCTGTCTTGCGCATACATGTCCTCCCTGCAACAAACCAGAGATCAATAATGACTCCTCCCTGTCTCTCAAATTTGTTGACTCAAGATGAAGGAAAGGACACTTACGATAGATTGAACTTGAAATTGAACTGCCAGGTGGTGTATGGCCCTCTGGGTGTTTTCCCTTGCTCATCCAGGAATGTTAACCCGAGCTGAATAATCCGCAGGAGGTCTACATTACACCGTAACAGTTGGTATTGATAGTCTGCCGTGCTTCTGAATTCTCCTATGGGCCGTGCGACCACCCCGGGGAATTCAGTATCCTAAGACATCAAAATGGGAATATATTGAAGTGCTGCATAAGGCATTCAGTGTATGGGTTCAATTTCCTTCCTATTCACTCACCATGGCTACATAGTTATACTTCTGGACAATTTGCCTTATTGTGCGGAACTCCTTGTCTAGGTTGTGTGCCCACACATCGCAAATGCCACATTCTTCATTGTTCATTGACATATTATTGTGGTGTACATTATTCACTGTAGTGTTGCCTATGAAAAAAAATTTGTGTAGTCAAGATACAACATTAGCTCACAGAAGAAAACAGTTTGTATCTGTCTAACATTCAAACATTCGCCATACCTGTGGCACTGGGCATCTTCGACGCCCACTATCTTGGTGGGAGGGACCCCAGGGCCAGCTGATGGATATCCACGGTAACAATGGTTCTACTGACCTTCATAAACAAACAGAAAGAAATCGGAAATGCATTACGGACGCGATGAATTTCATTTTGAAGAAGTTTTCATTGATAAACTGAACAACAAAGATTACTGGTGACAAAACATAGACTTTAGAGCGCTCCACAGAGGAGAGAAGGCTATGTCGAATACAAAGCAAAGGGATGTCTAGGTGTTGAATGAAACTAAGCAACTGACAGCTTCCTGCATCGATACAGTTCGTAAATCCAAATGTTTTGATTACACTTGCTACTCCACTTAACCTCAAACTCGACAGTGTATACAAGCTCATGACAAATCAGAACATCTGACATACTGGTAGCATTTACCAAATCAACAAGACACCGAGAGCCACGGCTGTAATTCCTGAGGTAAGCAGTTCTTCTGAAAGGAACGGGGGCAAAAAGGCAGACGTTTACAGCGATACACGCCTGAAAATGATATGTTCATCGTTCACCTTGTCTGCAACCTAACCTCCAAAGCAGGAGATGCCATGAGAACGTATCGCTATTCGACGGCCAAAGAATGGCAGGAGTGAAAGGGATTTGGAAATTTTTGGATTTATCAACAAAATTTAGCCGAAAACACTCAGCAATAGGGGTTAAAATGCCAAGGAGAGACGACTGAGAGTTTACCAATATCGACACACTTCTTACAAGTCTTCTGCTAGTTTTTCAGTTGAATAAGTTCAGCTCAACACGTTGGTTTGAAAATTAACTGACCTGTCCCAGGATTGCTGAAGCTTTAAACACAGTAGTTAATAAATCCCAGGGATTATTTAGGTGCCAAATTGTGTTGTGGTACTACGCTCGTACGAACGGCTGTCTTGATTTACCTTTACTACTCTCATTTGTTGGCCATGAGAGACATCCAGATGCGAATTCTATGCCCAGTGTTTCCTCGCGTTTCCGAGTGAAACAATCGGTGATTAAAGTCCTTTATCTCAAAAGGTTTTCAAGGGTTAAAAAAATATTTTCTGCAATAAATCCGTGATTGGATAAATGCATTTCTCAACTTAAATCGAAATTAGTACAGTCGCAAAAAAGGAGGTCCCTGCCCGCGAGTTTTTGAAACACTGCGCGTAACAGTTCAACGTTCAATACCAACCATACGTCCCTCTGAGGTTGACAGCAAACGGAAGGCTGGCCGCTGCCTGTGTGCCTGTACTCGACGACTTTGTCGATGACGTAACTTAGCGACAGTCCCTCGGAAGTAAGTTGGCACTGCTTGCTGCTGATGGCATGAGCTTATTCTCGGCTTGACGTCATGGCGTGGTCATGGCGGGCTCGCTGCCATGGTCATGGGCGTGCCATGGGCGTACCATGGTACCGTAACGACCAACGACATGCGATGCAAAGATTTGCTACAACGAAACGGACTTAGCGAGTACCAACGTGAAGGTGGTTGAGGTAACTATTCCGTTTAGTTTCGGTGGCGCGTCTTACTTGAGTTGCGCTCTTCCTGCGGCGGATCCCTGCGCATCCAAAACTCGAATCCATAAAAAACGTAACACGAGGGAAGTGGACAATCAGCGAAGGGGATTTGTTTGCTTGAGTCCTGCAGGACGTGCAGCAATGACGCAGGGACTTAGGCTCAGACTTTGGCGCGAAGGGGAAGCTCAGACTGCATGACGCGGGGAGGCTGTGACTCTGTCTCACTCACTCTCCGAGCGCTCCGCACTGGTGCGAGGGAGAAGAGCATTCCATCTTCCTCCCCCACCCTCCTCGAAACGTTGCCAAGCGCTGCTAGCTCTTGCCACCCGCCAACTGCAAAGCTAGCACAGAGCCATCCTCCCAGGCAGGCTGGACGGTGGTTGTTTCCCTCCCTCTCCGGCCCCCTTTCTCTCTCCATCTCTCTCGCTCATGACGCGGGGGGAGGAGAAGCGACCGGAGGAGGACCGCTGCATGTCTGTGGCCACGCCGAGCCACGCCGAGCCACGCCGCGAACGGTATGACGGGTATGACGCACGAGGATGCGGTGTGCCTCGGTATGGTGCTGCGGCTAAAGGGGCAACTACACTCCAAAATAAATGCACGCGGGGAGAAAAGGTGCCCGTTGCCACAGATGCGCAGTCCGCCCGCGCGCGGCGGGGTAGGCAGACCCGCAACGCGGCCCGGCCCGGGTGGCTTGCCTACCCCGTCGTCCGCAGGCGCTTCCCGCTCCCCGCCGACCCGGCTGGAGGCACACAGTGGGCCAGAAGTCCGGTGGAGGCGGCCAAAACCCCGGACGCGTTTTGAGCTCCAGAGTCGCTGAATGGGACTCGAACCGACCGTGTGACCCCACCAATGGATTGCTCTCCGAACGAGGAATCCATTGGTGGGGTCTCACGCTCTGGAGCTCAAAACCTTTAGACGCCGGCGCCGGTCTTCCGGAGCACTGTCTGCTGGAGGCTGGTAACTTCGGTCCGGCCGCCCGGCCGAGACCCCCGAGACCCCAAGATCAGGGTCTGCGGGGCGGCGCGCGGCGCGCGGCGCGGCAGAAATAGACGTGGAAATAGCAGCGACGCGCGCGGACCGCGATGACAACAAGCAGCGGACCCTTGCGTGCGCGCGAGAGAGACAGGCGACGAGGGTCAGCGAACGTCCTTGGCTAGAAGGAGCGCGCTGCGCCAAGAGCAGCCAAGAGCCAAAGGACTACTGCACGGCTCCATGCGTCCATACCCCGCGTCGGCTGCACGCCGGGGGTATCGACGCGGGCTGGAGGGACGTCGCCGTGGTTTGGAGCTGCCCCGAGCAGACGCGTTGCTTGGAGACGTCCTTCTTCCTCTTCTGGCCCTTCTTCTTGTTGAGGATGCAAATCCGAGGCGAAAGCGCGTAAGCCAAGCAGTCGGCCTTTATGTTGACATTCCCGCCAAGCGAAGCGACAAGCTGCGCGTCCGTCGTGTGTGTGTGTGTGCATGCGCGTTCTATTCTCGCGGCACCCACTCCACCCACGCAGAGTGTGTGTGCGTGTGCATGGGCGTGTGTTGTGTCACATGCGCCACTGCACTCGTCGGTGCATACGCAGCACGAAACGCGCAGCGCACAGCTCCCAGCTTCCGGGGCTAGGAATACCGATTTGCCAATGGTGGTGAACGACTGGTTTGTCGAGCGAGCCGTTTTCGCGAGGCAGCAGCCTCGTTCCCAGAGTCATTTTCGTCGCCCTAGGACGACGACAGCCTTCTTTTCGGCGTGTGACGTCGCGGCTTTGATCCCGGAGTGCCGCCAAATTGCTCGCCGAGGGGGGCAGTTCGCTGCGGGACATGGAGGCCCTTGTAGACGAGGCCCTTGATGGAGGGGAGGGGGAGCTCGGCTCGCAGGGCTGGCAGGGCTGCGCGGGGTTGGCGCCGCGGAGGTTCAGGTCAGAGCCGCCAGGGAGCGCTGGGGGGCGTCAGAGGGGTTCACGTTCACGGTTGTTGCAGCCGGAGCCGCCCGAGGGTGGCGGCTCAGGGCGCAGGGCGGCGAGGGCGGCGAGGGCGCAGCTAGGGCGCAAGGGCGGCGCGCCGCGGGAGGGGTGGCCGGGCACGAATTGAGGTCGCGCGGCGTGGCGGGGCGTGGCGGGGCGGGGCGGGGCGGGGCGGGGCGAGGGTTAGCCGAGATCACCTCGTCTGGCCGACCTCATCGAGGGCATGGGCTGCTTGCCCTGCTTGCCCTGCTTGCCTGGTGGCGGCCTGGACTGGTTCCGCGCACAGGGCGGTTGGTCTGTCTATGGAGCGGCCTATGAGTGCGAGAGAGAGAGACCTCCCACTGGGAGTCAGTCTACTAGTGGTGGCCTGGTGGTCCAATCCGGGGCCCTGACCTTGGCCAGACCTTGCTCTGCTTGGAGGAGCCCGGCGCTGTGCGCTGTGCAGCATCAGCGGCGCGACAAAGTCGACAAAGTGGCCAAGGACGCGTCGCGACGCGTCGGGAATCCGCCGTCCACGACTCTGGCACTCTGTCTCTTTCTCCGTCTCTCTCTGGTCCACGCGGTGGGGGCGTGGCGCGGGGCGCAAGCCTACAGTGCCTCCACAAAGGCCGGGGAGAAAAAGCCCCGCCATTCGTGGCAGCCTCCAACTGCTGCGGTACGGTAAAGTCAAGATAACCAAAAGTCTGGCTCTTTTTTCCGCCTGGGGGTTCCGAAAAGACGCTCCTGCTTCAATCATTTTTGACAGTGCAGTGCACCGCGTCTTTTCCCCGGCAGTGCCTCGCTGCTCCGTCCCTCTCGCACCCCTTCGGAACATTCCACGAGTGCGAGAGAGACAGACGACCACCTAGAGGGCGGTGTCATTGATTGATCCCGAGTGATTGGCTCTCACTCTCCCTGGCGCCGGCCAGGCGGCCGGCCCGGCGGCCAGCCACGCACCGCCATGGCTGCGTGCGCCAGCCGCTGCCCCAAAGTGACATCCAAGTGACATCCAAGTGACAGCGACGCGTCACTTGGCGAAGGGAAAAGCAAACGCCCGCGGCGTTGATAGCGCGGCTTTGAAGACGGACCAATTTCCGGCTCTGGGGATCGCACATCGCCCCGCGACGCCCCGCGAGCGTGCGAACGGCGTGCGAGTGAGAGCGAGCACTCCAGATTCCAGGCAGTGCAGTGCCTGGTTTCTCGCCGCCCGCGTCTCTCCGTTGCTGAGCGTCTGCTGTCTCTCGTTGGCCCGCTGTCCGTCTGCTCGTTGTCTGTTATGCCTACGCTGTATTCCCCCAGTGTGTCTGCCTGTCTGTCTGTCCGTGCCTGCTGCTCGTCGTGCGGTACCGTCACACGGGAAAGTGTCGCCCCATCTGCTCACCGGACCAAACCCAGCACGCAGTCCACGCGGTACACTGCATGTCGCGCCCCTGTTCGTGCAAGTCGTGTTCCCGCCGGTTCCCGCCCACTCGCGCCGAGTCTGTCCGGCCGGGGTCGGCGCACCGACCAGTTTTCCAGTGGCTCCACTTCCAGCGACTCCAGTCGGCCAACTCGAATCCAAGCTCAAGTTGACGGCCAAGGCCAGGGCCATGGCAGAGGGCGTTTTCTGTGGGATTCTACTTTCCACGTTTTTTGGGCTTTGGATTCGGGTCGCGCCGACAACAAGCCCCCTTAGCCCCTTTGGTACAGTGGCGTCGACGACCTCGCGGCAAGGACGCAGCGAGGCACTTCGGCAAGGTCATCTACCCCTCCTCCTATCTCCTGCCTCGCTCTCCCCGCAAGGTCACCTACCCCCGGCCTACCCGTCTCTCTTGCACTCGCACGGCGCCCCGCCCCGCCTTGAGGCCAGCGCCCCGCCAAGCCCCGGCCGGGGCCGCCAGGGCCTCGGCCGGCCGGGCCCCGAAGGGGGCACAAAGCACTCCGCGGCGGCGGGGCGGGGCGGGGCGGGGCGGGGCGTGGCGGCGGGAGGAACGAACTCGCGGAGTACCACAGCGCGTCGCGGCGTGCCCGCGCCATCGTACGGAAATCGCGGACCTTTATGGCGCTCTGTCTGTCTGCCCGTTCGTCCGTCCGTCCGTCCGAGCGCAAGGCGGCCATGACAGCAGTGAGCCGATTCCAAGCGTCGCTGTACGGCGCGCCGCACGGGTGCGAGAGAGACAGAGCGACGACAATGACTCTCTGCAGGGCGGTGCCAATCGCGCGGTGACGTCACAGACAGCCAACCAGCCAGCACTGCACCGCGGAAGAGTATTGACTGGGGCGTCGCCGGCGTCGCTGACTCCCCTGCTTTGCGTTCGTGCGTGCCGTCTGGCCTCATACACTGTCAGGGGCTCGCAGCACACCGGGAAAAAGGCTTTGTTGTGGAGATCGACTCTGACAAACGGACGCCGGCAGACGGACAGACACACAGACGGGCAAGCAGACGGACGGCCGGCCGGACGGACGCGCGGTGTGCAAGGCCAAGGCGCCAAGGCAGTGAGGTGGCCGCTCCTCCGCCGCCGCCGTGG